CATGAATCAGATCTCTAGGTCAAAGGTCAAGGTCACACTTAGAGGTCATAGAAAAATGCTTGTCTGAAGCAAAACTTCTACATGCATAGAGGGATTTCAGTATATCTTGGCACAAATGTTAACTATTGTGAGGCGAAGTGTCGCTCGCAAAATTTATGTCCCTGCGGCCAAGTTCAAGGTCACAGATAGGGGTCAACGTTTGATAAAAATTAGAAAATGTGCATTTGGACCATTTAGTCATCATTTATTGAAGGATTGAAACACAAATGGTGTGAAACATGTAATTTAGGTTAATATATGCAAGGTCAAGGTCACTCAAGATGATTGTAAAAGGTCACTAAAGATGATAAAATATAGAGATTTTGTTCAGAGCATATCTCCTACACATACGGAGAGATAGTAATGAAACTTCAAACAAATGTTCACCACTATCCTGTGCATGAACCAGGTCTCTAGGTCAAAGGTCACAGTTAGAGGTCATTGAAAAACGCGTGTTCGGAGCAAAACTTCTACTTGCATAGAGGGATTTCAATATAACTTGGCACAAATGTTCACTATTGTTAGGCAGAGTGTCGCACACATAGGGGTCAAAGTTCAGATAAAAAATCACTAGAGATGATAATATATCCAGATATTGCCCAGAGCATATCTCCTGTATGCATATCTGTATATGCCCACATCTCTCTTAAAAGCTTCTGTGATCGGAGTATACAGTGCCCATCAAAAGTCTGGAGACAAACAACAATTCACTGATTTTTGGGTAAACTTGGCAAAATCTGTCCAGCAAATGCAGTTTTATTGTTTGAAATATAACATTTACCTCCATTTATTATCTTTTGGCATAAAAAGTTAACAAAGTAATAAGATGTTCATATTTATATGACAAACTTACAGGTTTACATATTTTAGAGAAAACTAATAATTAACTAGTGATTTCGATCACTTCAAAAACCTTTGATTATCCATAAAAATGTCTGCCCAAATATCAACATAACTTCCATGGTCACTCTAGTGAATATTCCACTACAATACAATGGTTCCATAAGAAGACAGAGTGCGCTCAGTGAACTCTGAGAAGTCGAGGAGTCGCTGCTTCAGAAATTGTCAAATTCTACAAATAGGAAGGTTAGTTACTTAAATTGTCATTTCTTTCACTTGCTGAACACTTGAAAATTATTTTGAAAGAACAATATTAGCCTCGGATGGCTCTTTTAGGCTTAACTTACTTTTTCTTCTTCCAGACCCACTGTTTACAAGATCATGGATCAATTTGAGGCTACTGGAATTCTCCATGATTGACCTAGATTGGGCCGCCCAAAGACCATTACATTAAGAGATGATCGCTTGCTTATCAGGCAATCTTTACAAGACAGGAGACTCATTGTTCCATTGCTCAAGAGGTCATGGGAATTGACTGGAGTTAATGCTTCACATTCCACAGTTTGTCGCAGACTTCAGCAAGTTGGATTAGAGAGTCATCAAGCCATTAAGAAGCCTTTACTGACCAATGCTCATAGAGAGGAGCGTTTGGCTTTTGCTAGAGCACTGAGTCATGCTGACTGGAAATTGGTGAATTGGTCCACTATTCTGTTTAATTAGATGAAGTTCAACAAGTTTCAGACGATGTCCAAGTGAAGCTCTTTTGAACAAATGTGTTGTGTCAACAGTGAAACTTAAAGGTGGCGGATCATGGTATGGGGTGCCTTGAGCTACCAGGGACCTGGTATTCTGAAGGTCATGCACGGAAACTTGAATTCCCAAGGTTACATCAACATTTTGTGCTATTGTGCCATACCATCGGCTCATCTGCTAGTGTATGGAGATGAGTTCTGGTACCATGATGATGGTGTACCAGGCAACCAGGCCAAGATAGTGAAATAATAGCACTCCCAGAGTAGTATTATGTGTTTGGAGAACTGGCCACCACAGTCTTCAGACCACAACCCCATCAAAATCTTGTGGCATGATATCAAAATGAACATCGGGAACAAGCATCATGGTAATTTGAGAGAACTGTCTATGTTTGTGACTCCTGGTATGTGTTGACAGTTAACAGATGATGAACATTAGTTAAGAGTATGCCTAGGAGAATTCAAGCCGTTCTGACAGATGCTAACTGTGTGATCTTTTCTGTACTGCTGTTGGTTGGTTGATGTGCTATTGGTGTAGATGACACAAAATTTGGCATTTGATACTTTTAATACAAGTTATGCATTGTTTTTTGTGATGATATTTGACATGAATGAATTATTATGTATTATTATACATTCATATAGAATTAAATTGAGCATTTTGCCAAGAATACTTGTTTTTATTAACTTGTCTCTAGACTTTTGATGGGCACTGTATTTTGTAAAGTAATCTTCAATAAAATATGAAAGAAAAACGTGTAACTTATTATCATAAGCTTCTAATGGTGGTCATTAATTAAATTTAAATGATTATGAAAATCATAATTATTTCCTGATTAATCGGTACCCTTAACATACACATGTATGTTAATTGATTGGTAATAATAGCAGGTGAATAGCAGTTCTTAAAATGTCCTTTTCCAATTTCACTTAAATTATTTGTCTTTGTCAAAAGCTTAAAATTAAGATTATCACAATAAAGTAAAAAACCTGTTTGAAAAGTGTGCAGCATTTACATGTGCCAAGTTTGTTTTAGGGCCAAGCTGACCCTCATTCTTTTTATGTGCCACATGTTATTTTCAAGTTCATAAGTTGTAACATTTACATTGACAAAATCTGGTATCTGACAGACTGATAAATTGAAAGACAAATCAGTGTACATATCTCCAGAGATGTATGTCTCTGCTAACAGATATGTATATTGATTTCAATGAAAATAAGGTAAAACTTGTTATGTTACATAATTAGATGAATGTACTCCCAATTAAAGAATCATCACACCAAATCAAACAAGTATTAGCATAAATACAGCATTCGTTTTTCTGGGGGTACACTCTACAGACAATTAATGTAAAAAGGTTTAATACCACAAAATCTTTCTAGTTTTTCATTTTTTAACAGAAATATTTAAAGACAGCAGTATAATTCACAGTTCTTGCAAATATCATGTACTGTTATTATAAACCTGACGTAAAATTCCCAATTTACTTTATTTCATGACTCAGAAATTCCAAATTTGGTGAACCACTGGTTCCAAATTTGGTGGGATAAAAATGCTTAATATCCCAGTTTTTATACCCCCGAAACGAAGTTTGGGGGGTATATAGGAGTCCGGTCCAGCGGTCCATTGCATTTTCCTTGTCCAGAGCATAACTTGAAGACTAATGGTTCGAATTCAATATAACTTCATACAATGGTCAAGCACATTGAGAGGAAGTGCAGTGCACAAGAACCATAACTCTATCTTCACTAGTTACAGAGTTATTGCCCTTTGTTAATTTTCCTTGTCTGGAGCGTAACTTGAAAAGTACTGGTTGGAATTCAAAACAACTTTACACAATGATCAAGCACAATAAGGGCAAGTGCAGTGCACAAGAACCATAACTATATCAAAAGTAATTACAGAATTATTGCCCTTTGTTACTTTTCCATTGCTTTTTTTGTCTGGAGCATAACTTGAAGACTAATGGTTGGAATTCAATACAAATTCATACAATGATTAATCCCATTGAGAGGAAGTGCAGTGCACAAGAACCATAACTCTATCTAATGTTATTACAGAGTTATTGCCCTTTGTTACTTTTCCATTGCTTTCTTTTGTCCGGACCATAACTTGAAGAGTAATAGTTGGAATTCAATATAACTTCATACAATGGTCAAGCACATTGAGAGGAAGTGCAGTGCACAAGAACCATTACTCCATCTTGGCAAATATCAGAGTTATTGCCCTTTGTTACTTTTCCTTGTCCAGAGCATAACTTTAAAAGTACTGGTTGGAACAACTTCATACAATGGTTAAGCACAATAAGAGGAAATGCAGTGCACAAGAACCATAACTTATCCAGAGTAATTATAGAGTTATTGCCCTTTGTTACTTTTCCATTGCTTTTTTCTTGTCCAGAGCATAACTTGAAAACTACTAGCTGGAATTCAATACAATTTCATACAATGGTCAAGTATATTGAGAGAAAGCACAGTGCACAGAAACCATAACTCTTTCTTGACTCATTTAAGAGTGTTTGCCCTTTGTTACTTTTATTTTAATTGTCCAGTGCATAACTTGAAAATTAATGGTTGGAATTCAATGAAACTTCATACAATGGTCAAGGGCAGTGAGATGAAGTGCAGTGAACAAGAACCATAACTCTTTTTGGATAAATTACAGTTATTGCCCTTTGTTACTTCTTTTGTCCAGTGCATAACTTGAAAACTACTTGTTGGAATTCAATACAATTTCATACAATGGTCACAATGAGGGGAAGTATAGTGTACAATAACCATGACTCCAACTTCAGTATTTGTAGAGTTATTGCCCTTTGTTCCTTTTCCATGTCTGGTGCATAACTTAAAAACTAATGTTTAAAATTCAATGCAACTTCATACAATGGTCAAGCGCAATGAGAGGAAGTGCAGTGCTCAAGAAGCATAACTCTTTCAGGACTTATAACAGAGTAATTCAATAAAACTTCATCAATGGTCACCCACATTGAAAGGAAATGCAACATACAAGAACCACAACTATCTTTAATTGCCCACAACCATAACTCTATTGTTTTCAATTCTTTTGCAAGGTATTCTGTTACTAGTAACTTCCTCATTTCCAAGACAGTCTTGCGGAGGGTATTATTCACATGTAGTGATAGTTCTAGTTAAAGGTAGGAGGTAAAGATACCCTAATGAATAATAGAAGTGGGAACACTGTATATTATACTATATATTTTTTAAAATTATATGCCTAAGCATAACAAACAAATTATCTATTACACGTCATATAGGTATTTGAACCAAATAACTTGATAGACACAGTGTTCTACTGCAGTGACAGTCTCTACAATTAAATACATATTATGTTCTGCATCTTACTTTCAGGGGGTAACATGGGTATACCAGAGATGGATGGTACTACAGCACCAGTCAAGAAACGTCAGAGGCTTTCACTGAAGGCAGGAAGACAAAGAGCAGGTTTAACCTCTCAGTCACCAGCTGATGATTCCAGTAACAATGCTCGAAAACAGTAATGTTGTTTTATATTGACTTTGAATTGATTGTACATACAGTATATTCTTAGTAGATAAAGTTGTAAATTCGTCTGGTTCATTTTAACAATAAATTGAGGATTTCTGTTCAATTAAATGGTTTTAGGAAAAACACTTCTCCAGTCGAAGTTGTAAGGTAACTGTGTGTCAGATTGTTTCAGTAATGATTTTATGAATGATTACAACTTGATAAACCTCTTACAATTTGTTAACATGTTATACTCATGACATAAATTTTAAAAGGAAAGACATAGAAAAAATTTTTAACATGTATATTTATTATCATTGAGAGTTCTTAAGATTTTAGCTGGGGCGATATTCATAGAATAAAAAGGGGCTTTTCTTTATAGCTGGTTGGGTCCTACTCATGGTTGCTTCAAGTATGGTGTTTTTTTTTTGGACATCTGGATGGGGGGTGAAATTCACAATTGAAACAAGATTTAAAAAAAGAAGAGAATTTTACATGAATAAAAAATGAAACTGGTCAGCAAGGCCATTGCCTGTCCGGTGGATGAAGTTTAAATGTAATCTTGAACATGCAATTATGAAAGTATTCAGATGTGAAAGTAAAATAACAAAAACTCTAAAGTTTGAAGACGTAAATACTAAAGTATGCAAGAAAGAAAATTAAAACATTGCCATAGTAATGATTTGTAATTTTGAACTTGTAGCAGCTCTTCCATTAAGTTAAAGAAATTAGAAGGCCCATTGGATAGGTTAAGAAGAAAAAGCATTATATTTTAGAAGTCTGCACAAGCTAGAATCAAGGAGTAAGTAACTCCGAAACTATAACTAACAGAGGCACTGTTATAGAAAGTAAAAATCTATGCATTACTTCTTACAGAGAGAGTGAGTGTTCTGAGAGCAGTACAACAGTTGCAAGCTCATTAAGTTCATCAACTGTTGACAGTAGTACATCATCAAGTACTGAAACAAGTATGTCAACGAGTACGACAGCTGACACTGATGTCTCGAGCTCCATCAGTAAAGTTGATGTGAGGGTACCTGCTGTCGCCTCGCTGGAAAATCTTGGTAACTTTTTCTATAATTGTAGCTTTTCCTTCTTATATGAGACGTATTTTTATGTTTGACTTTTTTGATATCTTGAAGATTTTATGTGGTCCTTATAGAATAATTAGACAATGTTTTACCATGAATAAGTCGAAGTCCTAAGGTTACTTTGACAACTTCAATCTTAGATATTTTTCGTACGTTCCCTATCGGCGATGATGATTGCCTATCAGCTTTATGATAGGTGTAAATTAAAAAAGCCTTGTGTTTTAACAGCATTTGTATGCCTTCCTATATGTGAAAATATGCTTCAATTGAAATGATTCTAATTGCTGTAGTTGTATTTGAACATAACGTATTTTTTTTCGTTTGGACCTTCTAATGTCTGGTGATCATCACACAGGATATATTAACTATAAGCTCCTTTTTGTTAAGTCTTTTGTAAGTCATTTGTTAATGTCCGCAGCTAAAGAAAATTTGTCATTAAATTGAGACCAATACATAAGTCGAAGACTTTACGCAAGTCCCTTCAATTTTCAATTACCAAAATTGAAGTTAAAGATTGAAGTTAAAATGGAAAATGGCTGTATGGCTGATTTGACCTAACAACATTGTATTATATATATATTTATCAAACAACTTTTTTTCACATATTTTTTAGGAAATAAAAAGATGCATTTTTACTGTAGCTATATTTTATTCATTTCAGGCAACACATGTTTCATGAACTCAATTATGCAGGTACTAAGATATACACCAGGATTCTTACATAATCTGGCATTACTTTACCAAGACATACAGTCATCAGAGAAAATCAAACGTAAAAATAAAACTAGCGATGATGTAAGCACCTTTATTTCTTTGTGACTTATAACCCATATGACTTATAACCCTTGTGACTTATAACCCATACACTTAATATTGGAAGCATTTTGTTGTTGTTTATTTCTCGGTTATAATACTTGGGCTATCCTTCTCACCACAGCATTAATGTTAGCATAACATTTGCTTTAGAGTAAGAATGCAACTAAATATCTCTATCAACCACTTGATAACAAAAATTGAACTATTGTTGTAATAAGGGTGTGTCTGTGGCTGAGTGATTTAGGTTTGATTATTTACCACTTGTCCCTGGCCTCAGTGGGTTCAAGTTCAGCTAGGATATTTGGATTATTTCATGTGAGGAAGCTTTCAAGCTAGGTTACAAAAGATCAATGGTTCTTCTTTGATGTCCACCTGGGCCCTTCTGTCACCAGTAAAGCTAGACAGTCACTTGTGTATCTTAAAACCAAACCAAGGAAGAAAATAATTGTAATAATTAAATAACTCAGCAAGATAAGCATAAGTATTAACTTTATTATACACATTGAGTTTTTAGTGACCTTAAACAATTTCTGTTTAAAGTTGTGTATGCAAGTTTGATCTCCATAACCACTGAAGTTGTTCATTTAAAATCTGTGCAGTGTGACAATATTTCAAATTATCCTGTAATTATACAGTTATAGGCTAAAATGTAGGGATATCATACTCGTGTTTCAGGACCTGTCAAGTTTTGCTGAGGATATGAATAAGAGATGCTGTAAAGTTGTCAAGAATGTGTACAAGGTATATGCCTCTTAAACTTTTTATTGACTTTAAACTGCAAAATGACTTATTTTCTCCTCTGTCTAGAAAACTGTAAAGCTTTATTGAATATTTGATTTGGCACCTTGCAAAAAGTAAGGGATTTATTGTTGTGTGCGTCTGACTATTATGTGGATAGCTGTTGTTTAAGAGCATCAATGATTGTTTGCCAGCATAATAATGGATTAAACTTTACCAAAATTTGTTTATATGTAGAGTTTAGCTCCTTTCCTGATGGCCTGATCCCATTGCAGATAAATGAAAATGTGACTGTCGATGTCAAATAATTGAATTTAGCTTTGATTGTCATAAATGTGTTATTTATTAAATGATTAATTTTTACTTGGACAAAAGAACCTTTATGACCAAATCCATAATAGGATAGTTAAAAAATGGCATTGACCTTTATTTGATCTTGACCATCAAGGTCAAATTATTGAAATTTGTTAAAATTTTCTACAATGTCAATAGAAATAAAAAATCCTAAATTAAACTATCCAGAACCAAGAAAAGTGGGGTATGCTGTTCACAAGTCTTGTTTCTCAAAATTATAGGAAATGTTTTAGTCCTAGTTTAAATTTACTTTAATTTTCCATGCATAAATTACTTCAGGTGTACAGAGATCTATCAACATTAGAGGATAAGTATGATGAGGTAGCCTCAGATGATGTCATGTCCATGGCAGTAAAACCTAATAAAATATTATCAGCTATCAGGTCAGTTTATCTTTTGTTCTCCCCTGTATAATTGTACAGATAGTCCATACAGAGGTAATTTTAGGTTGATTGTGTAGAAAGCTTTTACTCGAGATACACTCTTCCAATTTCTTCCTGAAACGAATCAATCCAAAGCAATGATTGATATGTTTCTTGTTTAAGGAAACAAGGCCATGCAGCCATCAATCCTTAGATTACTGATTCAATATGTTAATTGTTTGGCCACACTACCACCACCACCAAAAACAGCTTGTTTTACAAAGACACAAGAAGACTTTGGCGTTATTTACGCTTGACATGTTACAGTTACATTATGATTCATTTGTTCATTCTGGATGCTTAAATTAACAATGCTTTAAGGATGTTTTCGGGAGTTTTCATAAGTATGGATATGGAAAATTAAAACTGTTCAATAAAATTTCTTTAAAATTGTTTTATTTGAGGGTAAAACTTTTTTTATATTAAATGTGATTCAGCTATGTTGAAGCACAGTTGACACTGCAGGTGACATACTTTACCATGCTTGATCAGGGTTTTATTTTCATTCATGTCTTCACAAGCTGGATATTTGATCATAAAGGGTGAAATGGTATGTCACTTAGTCAGTCAGAAGAAAATTTGTAAAAGGGGCTTTTGTGGCTGAGAGGTTACCACCACTGACTTCAAATCACTTGTCCCTAACTGCTGTGGGTTTGAATTGTTGCTTGATGCTTAACTAATTAGTAAAGGTTTCTTTATTTAAATACGTAATATGTAATTAATTGCCTAAGCACTGAGAGTTATCAACAGGTACTTTTTAAAAGATTTTAATAGTCTCTACAGGTCTGAAGGTTTATTTTCTTTTTGTCAAGTGTCAAATGATCTGATCTGTAGGTAACAGGAAAATAAGATTATGTAATTGTGAGGGCAGATTACAAAATTTCATTACTCTGCATCGAATTTAATTGATGTATTGAATTAAATTTTTATACAACTTTTTGTAGAGAATTGAACCCAATGTATGAAGGACATATGCAACATGATGCCCAAGAATTCCTGCGCTGTTTCTTGTGCTATTTTCAAGATGCTGAAAAAGAAGTGCAGAAATTTTACAGTCAACTTCCACACTCCTTCTCTCCAAAAATCAATCCTATAATGCAAAGGTTTCTGGCCAGTTCAAATGCAAGTCAAGAAACAAAAGATAAGATTGTGAAAATTGTGAACGAGATATCTAATGAATCAGATGATAAATTGGGCACAGAAAATGCAATAGAAACTGAAAAAGTGAAGGTTAATCTGTTTCCAAAGGCAGAAATCAGAACAGAGACAGCAAAGTCCCCTCAGAAGGTACAGAAGGTGCCAAATGTTGGGGACACAGCTGGCGTGGTGGACAAGATTAATGAGAAGGTCACTCAGATAGGTGCAAGTACTGAACCATCGGTTTCAAAAGACACTGCTTCAGGAACAGTAATGCATGTTGATTTGAAAGAAGTAAATGTAACTAAGCTGCCATCCTCTGTAGAGATAGGACTAGGCGCAGAATCAGAGGTTACTGACACTATAGGTAAACAACAGAAACCTAAAGCCTTGGCAAGAAGAAACAGAAGAATAAAACCTTATGATAAAGATGAAAAGATTCAAAGGCCAAAGAAAGATAATAAAGATAAGATTATTAAACAAAGAAGAGGTAAGAGGTCTAAGGAAAAAGACACTTCTGAGTTAGGTGGCCCAGACTGTGATATTAGAAATGAACAGAAATGTTCTACCATAATTCCTCTGCAATTAAGAAATGAAAATGTGTGTAAGGAGAAATCTGTACCAGTCATATCAAAGTCTGATAATGCAATAGATGTGAAGAAGAAGAAAGCGTTAGAAACCAGATCATACCAGGATGTCTTTTCCCAGTTTCTATCTGCTTTACCTGAAGACGATACAGATTCAGTGGAAATGCAGTCTGATTCTGATAATGAAGATATTGTCTTGAAGAAAATAAAGGAAAAACAACTTAGGAATTCTCCAAGAAGATCACCTCGAAAGACTTCATCAGAGATGTTGAGACCCAACGAACGTAAGATTGAAATATCCAAGCTTGCTCTATCAGCAAAATCTGAGTCATCGTTACTTACTGCTAAGCAGCATCTTGATTTTTCTGAGAATAAAGGTGGTTTAGAAAGGAAAAATGAAACAGAATGTAAAACTGATGCAAGTGATGAAGCCCCCTCAAATGTACCTACCGCTGTGTCTCAGTTTGTCGTAAAATCAGAAATAGCTGATGATGGGGATGATATTAGAAATACAGAAGTACCCGATATTGATGCTGGAGTGAGAACTGAGCAGAAAAATGAATCTAAGTCAGTGCCAATAGCTCTTGTACCTGTAGTCAAACTAGAGAATTGCGACTATATTCTAAATGAAAATGGAACATCTGTGAGTGCAGCTTATGCCACCAAATGCCTCACACCAATGAAGAATGACCGTCGTAGCAGCTCAGGTTCGAACAATTATCTAAAACAGAGGAATCAGCCATTCTCCATGGATATATCTGATGACCAGCAACTGAAAAGAGCACTTGCAGAGATGCTAAATTCTCCAGTAAAAAGCAGGTCCAAATATGATCTCATAGAAAGAACATTTCAGGTAGATTTTAACTTCTATGACTTTTACACTTGTTCAAAAAAGCTGATATATCTATTCTGGAACACATGCTTGGGTTTTGTATTTATTTAAAAAAAAAGTCAAATATCCAAAAGATTTCTTTTTTGTATTGTTTTATAGGCATTAAAAACATACTGAAAAGTGTTATGGTTACTGTACCAACTTTTCACTGTTTTGAAAATTATAAATGATTCCTTCATCTCGATTATTTAAGACAAAAGGGGTACAGCTCAGTTAAACTTAAGGTGGTACTCTCCTTTACATAATATTATTTGAATCAAGAAAATGTCTGTTTTTTTTAATGTAAGAATTTTGTTTCAGGGATCCATGATGTTACGAACACGTTGTTTACAGTGCGAGTCATCTACTGAGAGACAGGAAGACTTTCATGATGTCAGTGTTCCAGTCAGAATTGAGAAATCTGACAGTGATGATGAAGATGGTTTGTTATTATGTAACATTATGTCTGTCTACTGGTACAGCTAAAATATTATCCCTTACCAAGCTTAATATTTTAAATGAACTTGTCCATTTTTCAATCTGGACAGAACCATTCATCATTTTCAAGGAAAAAATCAAAATATTCACTGACTGAATAGTGCACAGTGCCAACCATAATCAGACAGCACAGATGTGCTGGTACATTGTGGTCTGCACTAGTCACATGTCACATCTGTTGCCTCAATTAGGCTACAAGGAATGGCTATTGTATCAAGATAGAACCAGAAAATTAATTGTATTTTCCTTAAGCCTTTATTAAGTAGGACAATATTTATCCACAATAAATAAAGGAAAGATGTAAAAGTAGAGCTGTCATTGATTCAATGCAAAGCATATCAACGATATATCGATATCAAGTGACTAAAATCAACGATACACCGATATATCGATAATATCCTATACTCACTTGTCTGTCATTCACTTTCATACCTGTTTCAATGATTTCAGTCAAAAACATGTTCTGTACAGTGTCTTGTCCACTGCATGATTTTTTCTAGAAAATATTTTTTGTCACCATTGCTATGAAATAATTCAACTATATAACAAAAGCATAACATTAGATATAAATAACTGCTTCTGTATATATTTTGGGTGAATTTTATAATTTCTAGACATTTAATTTATTAGTCAAAAGTATCGATTTTTTAGAATGTGTATCGATTATTGATCGGCAAAAAAATATCAATGATACATCGATATTGTCGATATCGATGACAGCTCTATGTAAAAGTCTTAACGATGATAGTTTCTATATTGGTTTTCATTTGCTATCATTACAGTGGTTGAAATGTTGTGTAAGGTTTCTAAAGAGAACAAAACTTGATTTTTCATTATTTTCCTAAAGAATATTGGCATAGAAACTTCTCATGAGTTAACAATAATACATGATATAGTAATGTTAAGCCTTAAATTGTTCTAGAAGAAGTAACTGAGAACAAATGTGATTTACTGGACCTGATAGAAGCTTCCACTGAGATAGAAAAATTGTTGGAGGAGAATAAATATTACTGTGATGAATGCAAAGCATATGTCGAAGCTGAGCGGTCCATGCACTATGATGTGATGCCAGATATTCTTACACTACATCTAAAACGGTTTTCTTCAGAGACAAGGTACGATCACAATGGCTTGCATGGTTTTTAGCGTCATAACTAAACAATGATGTATTGCTATGATGTAAAGTTGAAGAAAGTTTCAAATGTTTTAATATTTAGGTTATTTTATTTATGTTAATACTTGAAAATTTCAGTCATGAAATTTCTTGATTTTGTTCTGTAAATTTTACCTACAAAGAGAACTTTGTATTAATACTACAACTGTAAAACAGGACTACATGATATATATAAGTATCTTTTCAATGGAAGATATTGTTATTGCAGAAATCCTAGTAACATTATGAAGATTAACGACCATGTTGATATACCTCTTACCTTACCGTGTCTACGGTATAAATGCTCACAGTCTTGTCTTCGACCCGATCATAGGTAATATTCCATTTTTCTATACATTAAATATATCTCTAGAATAGACACTGGTATCTTCTGTTCTATTTCCATTAATTTGCTACCATAATTATGTACTTTAGTGGTGTGATGTTGTGTTCCTAGGGAATTTTTTTGGATGTCAGATAAAAAAATATGAACTCTTACTTATATAGTATTGAAAACAAAAAGTTTCTCCATTTTAATTCTATTTGAAAAATTATTTCCTGGTGACCATTCAATATGTTTGCTAAATTATTCTTTTTTTTAAAGGCGAGGTTTGGAGTTAGATGTAAGTTTACCCTTACCGTGCTAAGTATCTAAAACAGCCTTGTCCATATCTATCTTTCAATCTGCACCCAATCATTATACCAGTTCTATATATAATTTCTTAGATACTTATTGAATGAATAGCAAACAGCGCATTCTGGCGCAAGCATATTCTTTGTCAGCTAACAGGCTAAGTGTTATTTATATGTTCAGTAAGGAACAATTTAAAAATCCCCTTTTTTACAATTGGGGGAATAGGAATGAGTACATGTGTATTTATTGATTTTCCACAATATAATTATCACTGAAAAGGATAAGATAAAATGTTTTATGTAACTCAAAGGGGCATCCGTTGCCGAGTGGTTAAGGTCGTTGACTTCAAACCACTTTACCTCACTGCTGAGGGAACGAATCCCAACAGGGACTTTGGATTCATTCATGTGAGGAAGCTATCCAGCTAGCTTACGGAACATCAGTGGTTCTACTCAGGTGCCCGTTTGTGCCTGAAATAATGCACGGAGGGGCACCTGAGGTCTTCCTCCACCAGTAAAGCTGGAATGTTGCCAAATGACCTAAACTGTGTCTGTGTGATGTAAAACCCAATCAAACAAACAAATGTAACTCAAGGTACCTCTGTAAGGGGGATTATGAGTTTGTTAATCAACTGAAGTAGCATTGATTGCTTTGTATTTACAGGTACAGACTGTATGGAGTAGTGACTCACTCAGGCGTAACTCTTACTTCAGGACATTATCTAGCTTATGTTAGAGCTTTGCCTAACCATCCGACAGACAATTCTCACAGGAAACAACAAAATTGTCATATCGATACAAACTACAACAATCAACTAGGGGAAATTAGTCAGAAAGAGAATTCTGTCAACAAGTCGGATAATTCAATGCCTGCGACTCGTCGTAAGATGGGTGTGGCCACAAAGTTGCCATCCCGCTTTGATGACAATGTTATTGCCAATACTAAAGTTAAAGCATTTCAATCAGTTGCAGTGAAAAAAATAAAACCCGACCTCGTAGCGTCATTGTTGCCAAGCAAACAGTATGACGAGGAATGGTTTGAATGTGACGATGAAACTGTCCGAGTCTTTGATGAACCAGATTTTGTTGAATTATTATCAGAGAAATCAGGGTCTCTGCTGGGAACACCATATCTGTTGTTTTACCACAAAGCAACCATGTGTTGACGCAGCACTAGTTGATTAGATAGAATGTCTGTGAAAATGTGATATGAATTGTGTATGCCATAATGGAATTTAGTATTCTGTAAACTTCATTTTACTTTATTTTGGTAAAATCTGTCTTACAATAGTTGGTTTAGGATACATATTCACTTTGAAAACCAACATTTCTTTTTGTTATTAACATAGTTAAAGATGAATTTATTAATGTACATATAATGCTCCAAATCAAGTGCATTTGTGGTGTTTTTGAACTTAATCAAATTTTTTTGCAATATTATTTCTGTGTTCTTTCTGATATATATCTTGGTTTAATTTTTTTTCATCTTCCTTTGTAATTGTACATTTTGTCTGGTTATTAGTGAAATGTTACTATTTTTAGTTTTAAAAAGTTTGTTCATACAAATTTAACAACTTTCATGCTTGTAAGTCAAACCAAGTTGGAAAAGTTCTACTGTAAAATTAGAAAATACCCATTCCAAGCTGGTACAGTGTTACTGCTAGTTGTACAGCATTAGCAACCTTAACACACAAGTTGGTACAATTTTTATTACTACTGCAAGTCTTACACAACTATAAGTCGTACACAAGTTGGTATAACACTACTGATTGGTACAATACTACTGTAAGTCATACACAAGTTGGTACAATACTACTGCAAGTCATACACAAGTTGGTACAATACTACTGTAAGTCATACACAACTGTAAAACATACATAAGTTGGTACAATACTGTTATGAGTCATCAACATGTTGGTACAATACTGTTATGAGTCATCAACAAGTTGGTACAATACAACTGCAAGTCATACACAAGTTGGTACAATACAACTGCAAGTCATACACAAGTTGGAACAATACTACTGCAAGTCATACACAAGTTGGTACAATACTACTGTAAGTCATACACAAGTTGTTACAATACTACTGCAAGTCATACGCAAGTTGGTACAATACTGTTATGAGTCATCAACAAGTTGGTACAATACAACTGCAAGTCATACACAAGTTGGTACAATACAACTGCAAGTCATACATAAGTTGGTACAATACTGTTATGAGTCATCAACAAGTTGGTACAATACTACTGCACAAGTTGATAAGTACTACTGTAAGTCATACACAAGTTAGTACAATACTACTGCAAGTCATACACAACTGTAAAACATACTTAAATTGGTACAATACTGTTATGAGTCATCAACAAGTTGGTACAATACAACTGCAAGTCGTACACAAGTTGGTACAATACAACTGCAAGTCGTACACAAGTTGGTACAATACAACTGCAAGTCATACACAAGTTGGTACAATACTGTTATGAGTCATCAACAAGTTGGTGCAATACAACTGCAAGTCATACACAAGTTGGTACAATATTACTGCAAGTCATACACAAGTTGGTACAATACTACTGTAAGTCATACACAAGTTGGTACAATACTTCTGTAAGTCATACACAAGTTGGTGCAAAACTATTGTTAGTCATACACAAGTTGGTACAATACTACTGCAAGTCATACACAAGTTGGTACAATACTACTGTAAGTCATACACAAGTTGGTACAATACTTCTGTAAGTCATACACAAGTTGGTGCAATACTATTGTTAGTCATACACAAGTTGGTACAATACTACTGTTAGTCATACACAAGTTGGTACAATACTACTGTTAGTCATACACAAGTTGGTACAATACTACTGTAAGTCATACACAAGTTGGTACAATACCACTGTTAGTCATACACAAGTTGATACAATACTGCTGTAAGTCATACACAAGTTGGTACAATACTACTGTAAGTCATACACAAGTTGGTGCAATACTATTGTTAGTCATACACAAGTTCAATACTACTTCAAGCCATACAATCTTACACATTTCTACATAGATCTTGCTCAAGTGATGTTTCATGTATATTTGATTTTGTTTTTTAGTTGATTTGTAAAATTTGTTTGGAGTAAAAAAAATTGTTGTTATTTATGTTAGAAAATCAGTTTCCGAGGAGAGGAATATGGTGTCTTAATATTCAAGTAGAGATAATGCATGAACGTTACTTCTGAAGCTAAGAATTATTTTCCTCATGCAAAAAATAATTTATTTGATTAGTTTAAGAGCATTACAGGAGTAGGATGAAATGTATTTCTGTTTGAGATACATGTATAGTGAAAGATGATAATTGCTACTCACCACTCCATGTATCATGAACTTCAAATGAAGCCTAACCCTTACCCAGCTGGACTCCTTTGCCACCAGTATAGAGCCATGCCAGGCTGCACTTCCATACAGTTATTTTCAGGCACTGTACTGTTTTTATATCAGACAGTTTCAAAAATAGACGTTTGACAAGTTGATTTAAGAAATTCAGTAGGTTTAGGGTTAAAGGAATGTGATTACTATTACATGTGTTTAAAAATATGTTTGTTTGTGAAATGAATTTTTTTTGTGATTGTCTTTTGTTAACAAGATTAGTTTACCGGTTAAGATAGGTAAAGGAATAATCTTAAAATGATGAAATAACAATATTCATCAGAAGAAAATGATTTCTCATTAAACCATGGGCAAAAGTTTTCAGGCGTTTTCCTGTATTCTGGATTTTTTAACTGTTTCTACATAAAACTATAAACAAAATGGCTAAATGTTTACATTCCAAACCCCTACTTTAAAAAAGTTTCCTGGTGAATTTTCTTTTGATTTAATATATAAAGCCTGGCCGCCCGTACTTCTGTGCAGTCTGACTCTGCTTAAAACTAAATTACAATTTGTAGCTCAATTTTTTATTTGACTTTGAAATCCCCTAATCTTTGAACAGTCTTCGGTGAAGTCTAAGAATTTATGAAAGTTTCTATCTTGTTGTCATTGTGTTTAGTTATATGTTATGTAGAAATTATTTCACTTGCATGTTTGTAATGTCTTGGGTATTCTTTTAAAGAAAGCTGTCTTTGAGGTAGTTAAAACTAGTTTTAAAAAATTGAAAACAACTTAATAGATTTACATTAAACTATTTTACATTATGTACAGAGTTTCCATACATGTAAAAGATAAATGTAAAATCAGTTATTATTTGAACAAATGTTTTGGTGGATTTAACTTTCGTTGATTTAATTAAGAGATGTTTTTCTTAGATACGACTTAATTTTGATACATTCAGTACCTCTGAAGTTATAACCTGCTGGAAATGAAAGTGATTAGCCATATATCACATGTATAGAGTGAGGCCAGTCTGCTATACTGTTGGTAGCTCAATTTTTGTATTTTTATACTGAAATCCCTTGACTTTTAAATGGACTGTTCCAAATTTATTTAGCTGGACAAATCCATTACAAAAATTCATTCAGCAGGTTAAGGTCCAAATAAGTTAGAACAAGAATGGTTTTAACATTTCAAGAGAGAAAGAAAAGGTCAAGGTGAGTCCGCTTTTTGTGAACACTGGATGCTTCCACTTCTAATCTGTAACATCCAGAGATGAACATTTTGTAGATTTTTATTCTATAAATTTTCCCAATAAATTTAAATTTATGTAGTTGTTGCTCAGATGGATTTGATAAATCAACAAAACCTGAAATATTAAAACCTTGAACATTCAGACTAGGTCTGATTCAGAACATGATATATCGTTACATTTTAAGAGGTCTGTATATCAGGTTTTCGTCATGTTAACTACTATGTAAAATGGAGGGGGAAAATCTTTTAACAATATCTTGTTAATGAAAATAGTACCGTATGTGTTCTAGAGCGTGACTATATGGCTGTCGTGAACACTGGTTTATGATTGGGCAAAGTATTGCAAATTTATACGTTTTTTTCACATAGGTTTAGATAAAGACACTGTATTAGTTATTTGTTTTATGTGTATATGTGATTAATTGTTAACATACAACAGGGTCTTTCTATTTGAAAGACCCTGTATACCAAGTGAAATTTACTTCTTGATTTAAGTGCTAATAGTAACCCAGCAATGAATTTTTGTTTTGTAATGATATGTATTTGAAAATAATTTACATTCATTTTGAAAATGTTAATAAATGTTGAATCTGTGTGAAAATCTTCATTGTCTTTGTTTAAAAGGTTTCAAGAAAGAAACCAAATTTTAGATACAGATGATAATAGTGTAACAAGTTTTTCCATACCAGGTGACTTATAAATAATGTTGAGAGAAAAGCTAGCAAAGTTAAGAAATGCATATATGAGCCGCGTCACGACAAAACCAACATAGTGCTTTTGCGACCAGCATGGATCCAGACGAGCCTGGGCAGTCTGATCAGGATCCATGCTGTTCGCTATCAGTTTCTCTACTTGTAATAGAGTTGGTAAGCGAACAGATCCTGATGAGACTGCGCAGATGCGCAGGCTGGTCTGGATCCATGCTGGTCTCAAACGCACTATGTTGGTTTTGTCGTGACTCGGCTCATATATATTCACAATCCGTATAAAACTTTACAGTACAACAGAATTTATTATTCATACCACCAAAACTCTACCCTATTACAAAAGAGAAATTTTGACAAGTTTACACAATATGTTCACTTACTTTATACTTTGTACCCGAAAACAAAGTTTTATTTTGCTTAAAACTAGAACATATTTAGATGCAAACTGGATATGGGTGACTCGAACCGGAGGAGTGTGGGTCATCTTTAGGTATAAGCCCCAAAAGTACGACTGTTGTTTTAATATCAATATAAATATGTTTAGGTTTAAGGCAAGAAAAATTAGTTTTAAATAGAAATGAATCAAACTTGCATTCCCGCAATTTGAATTCGGGAAAGTGTTGCCATGGGATCATGTGCTCACTGTACCAACTACATTTTAAACTAAACTAGATCGCAGCCCATACTTCTATTTACTTACTAAAAGATAAGTATAAAATGAAAACAAAAAATTATCTTAAGGTCTCTGATTAATTTGTATCCTATATTTTTACTGTACTTTAATGAACTGTTCTATTTATTTCGTTATATAAGTTGAAGCCCCGCCCACCGTTATATAAATGCTGTAAACAAATTACTAATAAGCGTATGATAAGACTCATTCACAACTCTTGACCTAGATGAGTATAAATAACGTGCGAATAAACGTGAGTTGTTACAACCCTGTGTTTGTTCATTAGATGATAAATATTTACAACTGGGAGATAAATTTGTTATACACAAGCTGACCGTACATAGTAGTTACAGATGAAACAGCTTACGGAAGGAGATCCAATTCTTCAGGTATTTCATTGAATTGTTTTGTTTTTATATTTTTTTTCTTTACTTTATTACACATATATTTTTATATGTTTCCTACATTAGACAGTGTCTTTCTATATGAAAGTCCCTGAGCAAGACCGGTACATAAAGTAAATGTAGACGGCGATTTTATTATTACGCACAAATATAATTCAGCAAAGTTGGTGAAAAATTAGCGAGACTTTCAAAATATCTCAATTAATTTGCCAAAATACTTTGTCAGAAAATTTATAAAGATATGAAATCACTAAATTTGTGGAGGCAGTCAGTTCTTGTATGAAGTAAATTTAAAACGTTTTATTGTGTTTTTATAGGGACAGATGGCTACCCATTCTCCAGTAAAGATCACGTTAATCGTGCTAACCCTGCTAGCGTTCGGCCTAGTGGCAGCAATTAATGCCCTAGCAGCAACAAGTGATGGCGGAGGTAAGGAGATTTTTCTTATTTTATCTCCGTTTCTTATGTAAGATAAACGTACAAAGGTATTAAGCTTTACAAGATGTTACATTGTTGTTGATGCTGAATATACAGAGCTATTAATAAGAAATAAAATTTGTATAACTGGATAGAATCCAACATTCTTGACAGGAATGTACTAGAATGTTACTCGCGAAAAGTAGAGAATAGAGTATAAATCTCCGTTCAATATTCGTATGTTCAGAATTGATTAGGTTCTTATATGCTTGTAGTTTCCGTCGTTGCATTAGTTATAAAAATTTTGACAGGATATATGGCCCTGTATTAAACGGTTGTTTGGAAATACAACCAGAGTCGTAAAGCGAGGGTTATATTGCAAATAACCGTTAATTTGTATACGAGCATACAACATGTCAGAAATATTTATAACAAATTTATAATACAGTAAGCATCTTTTTATAGAGAAAAAGTGAGATTTCTTCATAAATTGACAGCAGCCGAGTTTATTAATATTAATAAGAATGCACGTTTGTAACGTCATTTTTCATTGGATAATCGTGACGTTTATATAGTTTAATATACACGGCTGCTGTCGATTCATGAAGAAATCTTACTTTTTCTCTCTAAACATGATGCTTGCTGTATTATAAATTCGTTATAAAGATTGTTGACAGGTTATATGGCCGTATATAAACGGCTGTTTGCAATATAACCCCCGCCTAACGGCTCGGGTTATATTTACAAATAGCCGTTTATATAAGGTCATATAACCTGCCAACGATCTTTATAACTAATAATAGAAACGTCACGATTATCCAATGAAAAGCGACATTACACATGTGCAGTATTTTAAGTATGTATACATATAAAATAAACATGAAAAAGCATACTAATTAGCAATCGTTTTGATATATCCATTTGAACAAAACATGTTATAATTAGAGTCTTGTATTTCAATTTTTATAAAGTGTTCATATCCATAATATTTATTTCAGGTATATTCCAGAACAACACGGGCACTATTTCCAACCTTTTTAATCTAGAAGTAACGCCTGCTGGCTGGACATTCAGTATTTGGGGTTTCATATACGCATGGCAAGCTATTTGGATCATATACGCGCTAACGACAATATGCCGCCGTAAAGTTGGAACATATTTGTACCTGATGCCAGTCTATCCAACTGCATTGTTTATATCTTATATAATTAATAACATTCTCAATGTTTCGTGGTTGTTTGCGTGGGACAGGACAAAGATTGCCATAGCACTTCCGCTACTCGCTTTACAGCCGTTCACGTTGTATATTTGCCTTTTCTTTTCGTTTAGAACACTGTACAACAATCTGGATTATTTAACAAGAAACAAACTGACCGTTGACATTTGGCTTATCCGTTTATTGATCCAAAACGGTATTGCTTTTTATGCTGCATGGGTTACCGTGGCAACTCTTCTTAACTTTGGTGTCGTTTTAACATATAAAGACGGAAGTGACGTCACTGACACATTTTTATCACAAGACATCTCCAGCACCATAATTCTGGCTATTGTTACAGCAGAAATTATTCTATGGTTTAGCCTCGATCTGACAATACTCGATAAGTATACACGTTACACTTTCGCGCCATATATCACACTTACTGTGGCTAGTGCTGGGATTGTATCAAAGAACTTTAACCTTGACACAGCATACCGAAACTCCGTGTTCAGTGTAGTCATATTAGTTACTGCCAGCATTTGTCTCGTTGTCAAGGTAACTGTGATGATTTGGAGACACTTCAAACGGCCAATACAACCTCTTCTTCAAGACTTTAAACCAACCGTTTGAAGTGTTGATAACATGTACGTTTTTACATGATATCCTTTAGAAAACCAAAGACAAAAACGCTTTGTCTAGCTTTCCTATATACAATTGCAAAAGGTCATAAATTATAGCGTGACCTTCCTCAAATTGGTCAGTGACCCATTATAAATTCGGTGAATAATTGACCAAACAGTAACAGTGACTAAATACTTTAAAATGGGTCAAAAGAAATTGAGATTAACCATAAAGTATAAAATGAACAAACCTTAAGAAACTATTAAAACTTTGGAAAACAAACAAGTACATATTTTATAAACATGAATTGTGAAACATTATAAGGACATTGTTTATGTGTTATTTTATTCATAAATTTTATTTTAGCTTTGTAACTTAAAATTTTATGTCTTTATACTCGTTGGGTTACAATGAATTTGCATGTGCACTGCTGTGTCAGCAAAGACAATTTTGAAAATAACAAGTAATAGAAATTTATCAATTCTACATATAAGAACAAACTCATTCATTTTACATGATTTATACTCATACCATGTTCATTGTATGTTTTGTATATATATATACAAATTACATTTTCATACACCAAATATAGTTACTCTTCCTTTTGTATATTACATTTTTTCAAACTGGAACCCAAGGTCATGACTAGAAATGCAAGAACACAGAACTTCAGGTAAGTTACACAATAATAGAACTCCGCTGAGTGTAGCCCGGGTTTTAAATTTTCTCCCACCTGACATATAATTAAAGTACAAATCACTGCAGGCATATTCTGACATATGACTTTAAAAGCAGATATCCCGGAAGAATTCACAGCAGCCTCTTTACCATTGTTTATATCTTCTCTGTTGTTTAGAAACTGTGAAGAGAAATACAGGAAAATTCCATACCCTGCAAAAAAGAAGATATATGAAATAAATAACATTAATACATGTACAGTATTTAGCCAAAGCATCTTATCATTACTTATTTATCCATAGTTAAACCAACTGACTTGGTTTATCAGGAGATCACTTTGGCTATACATCAAATGGGCTCTTACTACAGATATCACTTACACTGCTGAAAAGAAGACTTTGAAAGTGGCTTTTTTCATCAAAAGAACTGGCTTGAAGTTGAACATTTTTCTTTATTTACTAGACATTTAGGAATTATAAGGGCTTTATAATTTAGCTTCATTTTTCTATTAATAACCACAAAGAATTCCCTTGACTAAAATTAAATAATATTCAGCTCCTTTATTTTGCAAGAAAAAAAAGCTTTATGTAAATAAGGTACCTATGTCCAGCTATATCATCTTAAATTATCAGTAAACACTAAACAATCACCTAATCATTCTGCTACCCTTAGTGTTGATGCTTAAAAATGGTGCCTACACACACATTATCTAAGATAAACAGTCAGTCAATCAGTTAATAAATGAAAATATTATCAGAATACTGTGATGGAATGAAAGAATGAGCTCATAAGTTAAGCTAGCAATAAAATGACCATGTTCAAGAGTTCATTAATCCCCGAAAATGCTACTATTTTCTTTTCTTAAAAACTTTTTATTTTCATATCCTGTTCCAAAAAAGTACATATTGACCATATATCTAAACCATCTTTGATACAGTATAACCTTTGCTGAGCAACACCAGATAGGAGATCAACACAGATTTCGGTTGTTGTTCTATACAGGATAAATTCATCTTGAGGCATTAGTTTTGGAAAAATTAATATTGTTGTTGTGAAGAGAAAATTGCTGTACAGATGACTGGCTACATTGTAGAGGTTTCACTGTAGCTTATATTGCTTTTTAATACAATTTTAGTAATTTATTATTTTGTATGGAAACCAAAATACCATTTTGTTTACCTAGAACACTGCCTGCATCTCTATAAACTGCATTAAATAATGTAGTATCAAGATGTATCCAGTCTGGGTTTGCACAATACTTTGTTGCCAAGGAGATCGACCATTGTGGGTCAAGGCCACACCATTTCAGCATGTAAAACGTCAGGATACAGCTTGTTGGCATGGCAACTGATGCTGTCACACAATGGGATAATTTCAAATGTTGTAAGTCTATCTTGTTGACTACCAATGTTAAAATAATACCTGTAAAAAATTTGAAGATCAAACATAATTAAACAATTAATGAAAGTTTACACATTATAATTATTTATTTGTAGTAAAATGTTTCAAATATAAGAACATACATTTGTTAAAAATATAAAAATGCACCTATGAATTTTATGATATGTCTCGTTCAGTTTTCCAATGTAATCACAGTGCCCTCTTAAAAGTTTAAAACAGTACAAGAATATCAACTATGATTAATATTCATTTTTTTTTTTTAAAGAATGAGATATTCATTTTTTTAAAAGAATGAAAATAACAAATTTTCAATAACAAAATGTATATCATTTTGAGAACCTATAAAGAGGTGAAAAATTCCTACCCATTAAAGTTCCTAGAATCACCTGGTGTGGAAAATGAGTAGCTATAAATAGCCTTGAGACATTTACAGCAACCATGAACAAAGTAAATGCTATCCATAGTATACACTGAACAAGTAATCTGAAATAAAGAGCACAATTTTAAAGAAACCTAAAATATATATTACTCCGTAAAGTAATCTAAAATATACAGCACACTGTAAAAGTAACCTTAAATGCAAGCCATCCGAAATATACATGTAGAGCACTGTATTCCCACTGTATATAGTTTACTTAACGTTATACATTTTCAGAACTTGATAAGGGGAATATAGACTCATAAGTCCATGATATATGCAACATTTTCAAAAATCCCAAAGTGGTAAAGGCTGGTGACCGTGTCACTGGTACCTCATTGCTGTGGCCATGTTAGTATTCCATCAGAAACAATGCATTTCTTTATGTGAGGAAAGCTGGCTTAGCCAAGGTCTTTGGTTCTACTCAGATACCTATAAGTGTCTGAAATAATGTCCAGAAAATGCCACTCAACCTTCACACTCTTTGTATAATGTTAAACCCATTGACTATATTTTTATCACACAATGGTTAAGAAAAAGTTCATATCAAATACAAAATCGGTTTAGATATAAAAATTAATACAATATATAAATAAATTATGAAGCAAAAATAAGTATACCTTGGCCTTGTGTTTTGGATCAGTGAAAGAACTAAACAGAACACAACAGAAGAAGTAACCATTGCATGACCCGATGGACTACCTGAAATTGAAAAAGAATTATCTTTGTAACACAACCAATATGTAGATATAAAGCTATAGTAGGCTATTAAATTTTGGCATATCTCTAGTTTAACAAATATGAGGTCCTAATTGTATATCAGTTTTATACTGTATGCCAGCACTGACAAAATAAGGACAATTTGAGATATGTCATTGGGAAAACACTCTGATTCTGTACACAACCATTCACCTGCTGAATTTGGGAAATTGGACTTAACCAGCTTTTTATTTAAAACAGTTCATTTAAAGTTTCAGTAATTACAATATTAAAATACAAAAAATAAGCTTCCAAAAGTATAGAGCCTGGCCAGACTGCACTGATGTACACGCTGGCCTGGATATGTATTGGCAGCAAAAGGTCTAACATGTTATAGGTTAAGTTACCTCAATTTCATCAGCTTATGTCTGTCAGGTTTGCAGCTTTAAACAATTTATTGCATCCAACATACATCCAGCCCCTTATTTGATGGTAAATTTTCAATATTTAAAATGAAACATAAGTTTAACTGTTTAAGAGATACAGTCAAGCTTACCTTTAACTCCTTGTAAAACCATAAGTTACTTATAGTCTTTCAGATGAGCAGTTGTACAAGCTCATATAGTAATATAAGAAACATTTCAATATGTGATTATATTTAACATGTCTAGTCACACCATCTCTGTAAATTAAGTATAAAGCAACTTTCAAGAGTTACTCAAGAGGAGGACTTCAAGTGATTTTATTCCAATACAATAATCCACATTGTTCAACTCCTTCATGTCAGGGAAAACAATTTACATCTACTTACCTAGACCAGTTTCACAGGTTAGTCTGTACTGTTTTAGTTGAGCACCCTCCCTGTGATGTGATCTAGGGTCTAACACCCACCAATATGGCCTCTCTCCATGAAGAACCCTACAAAATATACGAGTTCACTAGCCTTTGGTTTCAACATATTTATTTAAGCTCGATTGCAAAACAAGTTCTTGCAACTTATATTAATCACTTTCTAGTCTTTCCAACTCCAAATCTTTTTTTATTTACGATTTAATGGACTTGGCCTGCTGAATTTATTTTCTTTCAATATCAAAACATAAAATTGAGTTGACCACATTACAGAGATTGGTTGGACAGCATGCTTGTGTATGCTGGCATCATCAAATATTAGTGGCAAAGGAAAGTCATATAATTAAGTTGGCTGAATTAATTATTGGTAAACTGTACTGTAATACTCAAGATAGTTTAACGAGATCTCACCATTTAAGTAAAGCATTTATCCATTCTGATAGACTTGCCAACCATAGTACTTTGATCCCAGTTTGTCTGTGAAGACAGTATGCTATTGGGAAGTAGAGGAGGAAGGCATTTCTAGGATCACCAAGATGGGAGGCTGTCATCATCAGCTCATCATAGTTCTAGTACATATATAAAACAGTTATTTTATTTGGACACTTCAGAATAAATATCTAAACATATTTGATTTATTTTATTCCTACATGTAGTTCACTAAAACTGAAATTTGAGAGGAATAAAAAACCTACAAAAATACTCAAGATAGTTTAATGCAGTATGTAAAGATAGATATAGCTAACAGAAAAAAATTCTGAACTTCTAAGAATGCATGAACATAAAAGGAAACAGATTTACCTTGAATTCAGACTGGAGAAATCTGACAGAATCAACTCCCACATTGTGAAGAAGATCCATGTCTGCTACTGAAAGAACAATTATACTCTGTTAATTTTCACTGCCTCTGAAATTTAAAATATAGCATGTTGTTTTATTGTTTTAAACAGTTTAAATATAAGTATTGACTAGGACAGATATTACATGTACATACCATCCTAGTTTGGAACACGTGCACTGCAGACCATGTCAAAGGCACTAGAAATATTAAATTTAAGAGTGTTATGCACTCAATTTCTCAATTTGATGAATTAAGTTGTGATTGTGAATCTTCGAAATACTGAAATTTTCACAAAAATCAAGTTCTTTCCCATGTGAAAATCTCCAGTTTGGAAATACTATACACCTAGTTTATATCCCTTGTCCAACAAATGTACCTTGTCTCTAGTTACTATTATGACAAGAATGAGAATATGTTTTTTGATAGATTTCAAAAGTATCTATATGTATCTATAAGCACTCACTAGTAACAAAATTCAAAGTTTAAAATGTACATAACTCTAAAAATAACTGCTATCAGATAATGCACCTTGTATTGCAACTAAAGTGAGAATTTACTGCAGTGGCAGGCCCATCACTATACTGGAAGAAGAAGAAGCTTGGTAATGATAATCTAGTAAAATAATTTTCAAAAGTTTTGTGTTGATACTAATGATAGTTTTGAAATCATTTTACTTAATAAGTTATTTGAACAAAGATAAAAGGCTTGTATTACTCCAAAATAAAAGCTTTGAGAAAAATGCCCTTTAATTGTCTTTACAACCGCGCCTTACCATGATAAGTAAGTATTCCAAATTTTGTGCTGATCTACAAGTGTTTGAGTTATGGGCTACACTAAAGTTTTTGTGTGATGGCAGCAAAACATACCGACAAGCAAAAAAATAAATGTTCTCTTCAAAACATCCCTTGCAATTTCTCAGTTTCTTTATTGCTTATGTATGCTTATCCGCTGTAACATATGATGGTGATCTACATATACTCAATTAACTTCTATATAATTATTGTGTAGCGTGTATCGAGCTGTTGATTAATTATTCAAGTGCTACAAAATAAAATTATTTTAAACCACAAGATTCTCAAATGTAAATATATAATTTTTCTTGGGATACTTATCCGAAATGATTTGAAATATTTTATATAAATTTTCCTTCTGGTTTCTTAACCTTTTGATTATATATTAACTTAATAAAAACTCTAGAAATTATAAAATACAAAAATAACAATCTTCAACTAATACTTAAATCATTCAAAATATATATTTCAAGAAACAATAAAACTCTATTTACTCTTACTTTCAAACAAACTAAAATTTACATTCCTAAACCTATCTCCTATTTATAACTTTTATATTTCAAATCAACAAACTCTTATCATAAAACGTTCAAAAACTGATTCTTCTAATAATGTTTTCAAATAAACTCTTCTCTATCAAACACTTGTCCAAGAGGTTTTACTTAGGCAATAAGGTATTTTTAGCACCAGTATCTAAGATGCCTGGCTACTAGTAAATACAATACTACCTATATCCAACTCTTGCAAGGACAACAGGCAGACTAACTATTTAAATCATAGAAGTAAAGATATTTTTAGCACCAGTATCTAAGATGCCTGGCTACTAGTAAATATAATTACAACTTAACGGTCCGGAGCCAAAATCAAATCTAAATTCTCAACATTGCGCAAGCTCTTATATATGCCTCTGGTGCGTCATCTCCGCGGTGAATAAAACAATGATTTTGATTGGCTAAAATAATAAAACGCTTCTTGATACCGATTTTAATTGAAACTTATAAGCGTCTGTTACTTGGATTAAATTTCCTTACAAACCATAAAACAAACAGATAAACAATTCAAATGATAAACACACTTGACAATACTTCAAATATATATCGTTACATAAGTATAATTACTAAATAACTTTAATTACCTATTGTTTATCCTGTTATCTTCACATAAAAATAAATTCTTTTGTTTTACTGTACAAATGGCGAAATCATACTAAGGGGAGGTAATCAAATGAAGTTTATAAAGTATAGGAAGCATTTTCGTCACATTACCCACGCCTCCGACTTCATGCGTCCCGCATGTTCTTTTAAATAGCCTACATCTGTATGTCTCATGTTATTAACGTTTTAAAATGAAGAAAACAAACACTTTCAAACATGTACTTGAATTATATTTTACATATACCGTTATGTAATGATAACATTAAAACAAAACAAACTTAAAAAAAAATATGTTCCGAAATACTCAAGCTTCAGTATTTGTTCTCATGATAGATAATCTATTGTCTATGCTTTCTTACACTTCATCTCCATCTGTAACACACATTTCCCTTCTGTTATTATTCTCCTTATAACAACATCTTCTGGCTTAATATTCATACCCTTTGGAAGATAATCACCAAGACTAATTGTCTGTTCCCTCTGATTTGCTCCTGATGTAATAGTTTCAAAACTCTGAAATACCTTCTTACTCTCTGACTTAATTGTCATTTCATGTGTTGATCTCCCATCTGTTTCAAGGTTCAGTTCACAATCTATATTAATAAGATTTTCCCCTTTTTCAGTTGTAACATTATTTTTCTGGGTTGTCCCTACCTTAGTTTGACTAGTTACCGCCTTGGTTTGACTTGTTAAGACTTTCTGTTTCTTAAACATGTCTTTTGATAATTCCATCATAGGACATTTTCTTTTAGGAACAAAAAGTGTTGGCTTTGTTTGCATTCTAAGAATACCTTTGATCGATTTACTTTTTGTCTTTAATTTATTTCCATCACATTTAATATTGTCACTGCTTGACTCCAAACATATCACATTACTTTCACTCTTATTACCGCTTTCGTCTCTTCCACTAGTCACATCCAACATGTCATCTTCTAAACATATTTCTGGGTCCACATCCCAATCACTATCACTTGACTGTAACTCAACTAATTCTTCTTTTTCATTTTTCTCACTTTCTGCAATCTTTCCTTTTTCGTGAAACTTTTTTACATGTACTTTCAAATATCTCTCTGTCTTGAATGTTACTCCACACACATCACATGGTATTCTTTCTTTTTCGTCACCTGCTTGTTTTGACATTTTATCTCTTGATAATGCTGACCTGGAAATAGAATAAATATAATCATTTAACCAATATGGGTTCTTTCTTTCTCTACCATATCTACTTTTACTGGATATTATTTCTTCATGATTCTCTATCTCTTGTTCGTCTATGGTTGTATCTTCCTGAAAAGAATCAGAAATTACTGGGCTCTCTTCAAATGTTAACTGTTTTGGTGCTTTTCGCATTCTGTTTGCATGAATGACCTGTAAAGAATTTGATTTTCCACAATTAACTTTGTATAAAACATCTGATAATATTTCTGTTACGGTATAAGGACCCCTCCAAAAAGAAGTTAATTTCGAAGAACATCCCAACTTCTTAACAGGAAAATATACAAACACATTTTCATCTTTAGCAAATTTTTCATATGATAATTTTGAGTCATGAAATACTTTTTGACGTTTCATTGATTTTTCAGTAGTTTGCCTCACTAAATTATGAGCGGATTCTAATTTTTCTTGCAACTCCCAAACCCATTGAGAAGGGGGTATTCTTTTCATGTTTGGAGGCATTTCGAAAGCTAAGTCTAGGGGAGTATTTAATTCTCTTCCTAACATTAACATATTTGGCGTCATTCCTGTTGTCTCGTGTTCAGTAGATCTATAAGCCATCATAACATATGGGAGTAACTCATCCCAGTTTTTATGATTTTCTTGAACATACATACTTAACATTGAAGCTAATGTTTTATTAAACCTTTCCACCATTCCGTCAGATTGAGCATGATATGGTGTTGTCCTTGTTTTCTTTATCTGTAATAAATTACATAATTCACGGAAAAGCTTACTTTCAAACTGTGATCCTTGATCTGAATGAATATTGTTTGGAATACCAAATCTAGTTATAACATTGTCAACTAAAATTTTAGCAACTGTGCTAGCTTCCATATTAGACATTGGAAAAGATTCAGTCCATTTGGTGAAATAATCGGCTATCACCAAAATATACTTATTTCCCGAATCAGTTTGAGGCAATTCACCTAGAATATCGATTGCAATTCTTTCAAACGGATAGCCACTCCTTACAATTTGCATCGGAGCTCTCTTTGTTTGGGTAGGACCTTTTCTCTTATTACATGCTTCGCATCCAGAAACATATCCCCTTACATCATTTTGAAGTCCTGGCCAATAAAATCTTTGCCTAATTTTACTTAAAGTCTTTCTAATACCAAGGTGACCTGAAGCTTTAATATCGTGAGAATATTGTAAAACTAAATGTCTTAATTTAAGGGGAACTATTGCTTGCCAATAAATAAGTTCGCTTCCTAATACTTCCCATTTTCTAACTAAAAGATCATCATGAATTTCTAATCTTGGCCACTGACTCCAAAGCGATTTTAAGAAGAAATTTTCACTTAAAATATCTTTGTATTCTGGTCTGTTACCCGTTTTTATCCATGTTTTAATCAACTGTATATTTCTATCTTCATTTTGAGCCTTTTGCAAATTTATTTCCCCATAACTTTCTATGTTTTGTTCAAGTGAAGTAACCAAACATACATTGCTTTGAAATTCAGGATGATTTTCAAGGCCGCATTGTCTACATGGAATTCTGCTCAAACTGTCTGCATTTTTATGAAGTCTTCCTGGCCTATGTTCTATAGACATATTATAGGCTGCTAATACCTCTAACCACCTTGCAACTTGACCTTCTGGATTTTTGAAATTCATTAACCAACGCAGTGAACCATGATCAGTCCTTACAGTAAAGTTTTGACCATATAAATAATGTCTAAAATATTTAACAAAGTAAACCAATGCCAACAACTCCTTTCGAGTTACACAATATTTTCGTTCAGATTTGGTTAAAGTTCTACTCGCATACGCAATAACGTGCTCGGAGTTACCAATTTTCTGTGAAAGTACACTTCCTATTGCAAAATTACTGCCATCAACATCTAAAATAAATGTTTTTGAAAAATCAGGATGAGCTAAAACTGGTGCTTCAGTAAGCATTTTTTTTAATTTGATAAAAGATTCTGAACAATCTTTGTTCCATAAAAATGGTTGACGTTTCTCTGTTAGTGTGAAAAGTGGTTTTGCTATTTCAGAAAAGTTGAATATAAATTTTCTATAGTAACTGCAAAGACCTAAGAACGACCTTACTTCATGAACATTATTCGGAATAGGCCATGTTTTTATGCTCTCAATTTTCTTTGGATCAGTTTTAATACCTGAAGCCGATACGACGTGACCTAGAAATTCAACTTCTTTAGCAAAAAGACAACATTTCTTAGCCTTTAATTTTAAATTAGCTCCTTCCATGCGTTGAAAAATTGCTTCTAAATTTTTAACCATGTCTTCGAAAGTTTTTCCTGTCACAATTATATCATCTAAATATATCAAGCAAGTTTGCCAATGAAGCCCTGCAAGAACAGTTTCCATAAGCCTTTCGAAAGTTGCAGGCGCGTTGCATAAACCAAATGGCATAACTTTAAACTGAAACAATCCAAATCTAGTTGAAAATGCAGTTTTCTGTTGATGATCTTTTTCTACTTCAACCTGCCAATATCCAGAGGAAAGATCGAGGCTACTAAACCACTTTGAACCTGATAATTGATCGAGCGATTCGTCTATCCTCGGAAGCGGATATGCATCTTTTATTGTCACATTATTTAATTTTCTATAATCTACGCAAAAACGATGTGTCCCGTCTTTCTTCTTAACCATTACTACACCACTAGACCATGGACTTGAAGAAGGTTCTATAATACCTTTATCTAACATTTCTTTTATTTGTTTTTCAATTTCTTTATTTAAACTTTCTGGGACTCGGCGTAAAGGCTGTTTAATTGGTCTAGATTCTCCAGTTGGAATCTGATGTCTCACTATGCCAGTTCGGCCTATATCAGTTTCGGACTCGGAAAAAATATTTGAATATCTACTTAACAATTCAGCTACTTGCTTACTTTGAGATTTATCAAGGTCTTTGACAGATCTTTCATAGAGATCTTTCATATGTTCTGGTATTTTTGAAGACTCTTCACTTTTATTTGACAAAGTGCTGACGCTGATAATAGGACTTAAAGTTGCTAAATTAGTACCTGGATATAAGATTTGTTCTTCTTCAGAAAGATTCATTATTCTGATAGGGACATTACTATCTCCAAAAACTAAAGACTTTGCTATCAAACTTTTACCATATGTATGTTGATTTTCAACAGGTTCAACAATATATAACCCATGTTTTTGTATTAACTGGGGGTTGGAAACATTCCCCTGAATTAAAATTTCAGATCTAGGAGGAATGATAGATTTATCTTTTACAGAAATTCTATAGCAACCTATGCTTCCTCGACAATTTAAAGGACATGTTTTACCTTGAATCAACATCGTGTTTTCGGCTACATTAATAGTTATATTATGAGTTTTCATGAAATCAAGTCCAAGAACAACATCAATATCAATATCTGAAATAACGACATTTGCTTGATATTTACAATTATTGATTTCAATATCAATACTTGTTTTACCTTTTGTATTTAAAGGTGTCCCTGATGCAGAAATAATTTCTTGAGTGCACATGTCTAAGTCATTCTTATACCCAAGTAATCCAAAGAATTCAGTCGAAATTAATGTAAGCGTTGCTCCTGTATCTACAAGACAATTTGCTTTTTTACCATTTATAATAGCTGTAACATATAACCCTGAACCTTGCTTAGAAACAGAATAAGTTTGCTTAGAAGATGAATGACCGATGTGTTTTTCATTAGAAACTGTATTTTTAAAACGTGTTTTATTGTTTGGACAAGTATATTGACTATGACCCTCCTTTCCACAGTTGAAGCATTTGAAACTCTTTGTTCTATTTTCAGTCTTATTTGTATTTGAAAAAGTTCTTGTTGAACCTCTGGGGTTGAACGTATTTGTTTGATATCTATAGTTAAAATTATTTCGCTCTGATCTATCTACAGTACTTGATCTCTCTTTTTCAAAAGAATCAAACCTTTTCTTCAATTCTTCAAAGCTTTTAGTCAACATTTCTATAGCACTGTTTTCTTTCGAACTTTCTTTGACTTTATTAGAATTTAAAGATCTATAACTACCCTGTTTTTCAAAATGTTTTCGTTCAGCCCTATTAAAAGCTTCTAACTCAACTGCATGTCGAACAGCGTCATTTAGATTTAATGGTCTTGCTTGTTTTATTCTTAAACGCATTTCTGAACTAAAAATGGAGTCAATAAATTGTTCTTTTGCTAATGTTTCTTTAACATCACCAGGGGCTGAAGGATATGCCAAATTTGTTAAACGTCTTATGTCTTGGGCCATTTCTGATAAAGTTTCAGTTGCTTTCTGGCGTCTTTCCCGTAATTGTACTCTATAGAGTTCTGTCTGATTTGGGGGAGCAAATCGCTCTTGAAGTGCATTAACTAATTCTGTATAACTACTTGAATTTCCTAAATTACCAAAAACACCTTGAGCATTTCCTCTCAAAGATACAGCAAGATAGAGACCCTTTTGTTTATATGACCAGTTATTAATTTCAGAACAAGCCTCAAAATGAGCTTGGTAATCTATCCAAGACCCGGTGCCATCAAATGTAGCTGGTTTCATAAAAACAGAAGACCTATTTGAATTAATTTTAGAGGAAGTATCTGATTTCATATTTTCATCGTATATTTCTCTTTGGGATTTTCGTCTTCTTGTCACATGTCTATCCCATATTTCCGGACTTAAATCTCTGTCTTCTTGTTCATTTTTGAAAGTATTACTTTGCGTTTTACTATGAGTCATAGGAGTTGAAAATCTAATACGTGGTTCAGAATTCAAAAATGTGTTTGACAACTGCTCTCGTTTTTCTATTATTTTTCTTTCAGGGATATGCGGCAATTGTCTTTTTGTTTGAGAACGAAAAGATGTATTAGGACTAATATTCCTAGGTGTCTGAATAGTTGAAGTAGTTTGTAACTTAAGCAATTGTTTTTCTAAAAGCTCTATTTCGTTTTGCATTCTCAAACTTTCATTCTCTTTTCTCAACATATCTATCTCTTCGAGATAAACAGACAAATCTTCAGGATTTCTAGCCTCAGCCATAATTCTTAAAAATAATTACGTCAATATAAAAATTTCAACAAACGCAGGTAAGTGATAATGTTATTTTATCAAAAAAAATCTTTTTGAAATCTATCAAATTAGATTTATCCCACCTTCGCTGCCACCAATTTTGTAGCGTGTATCGAGCTGTTGATTAATTATTCAAGTGCTACAAAATAAAATTATTTTAAACCACAAGATTCTCAAATGTAAATATATAATTTTTCTTGGGATACTTATCCGAAATGATTTGAAATATTTTATATAAATTTTCCTTCTGGTTTCTTAACCTTTTGATTATATATTAACTTAATAAAAACTCTAGAAATTATAAAATGCAAAAATAACAATCTTCAACTAATACTTAAATCATTCAAAATATATATTTCAAGAAACAATAAAACTCTATTTACTCTTACTTTCAAACAAACTAAAATTTACATTCCTAAACCTATCTCCTATTTCTAACTTTTATATTTCAAATCAACAAACTCTTATCATAAAACGTTCAAAAACTGATTCTTCTAATAATGTTTTCAAATAAACTCTTCTCTATCAAACACTTGTCCAAGAGGTTTTACTTAGGCAATAAGGTATTTTTAGCACCAGTATCTAAGATGCCTGGCTACTAGTAAATACAATATTACCTATATCCAACTCTTGCAAGGACAACAGGCAGACTAACTATTTAAATCATAGAAGTAAAGATATTTTTAGCACCAGTATCTAAGATGCCTGGCTACTAGTAAATATAATTACAACTTAACGGTCCGGAGCCAAAACCAAATCTAAATTCTCAACATTGCGCAAGCTCTTATATATGCCTCTGATGCGTCATCTCCGCGGTGAATAAAACAATGATTTTGATTGGCTAAAATAATAAAACGCTTCTTGATACTGATTTTAATTGAAACTTATAAGCGTCTGTAACTTGGATTAAATTTCCTTACAAACCATAAAACAAACAGATAAACAATTCAAATGATAAACACACTTGACAATTCTTCAAATATATATCGTTACAAAAGTATAATTACTAAATTTACCTTAATTACCTATTGTTTATCCTGTTATCTTCACATATAAAAATAAATTGTTTTGTCCGGGTATTAGGTACAGACGGTTTCTAGTACACTTTCAACAAACATCAACATATTTCCATCAAGATCTGCAACAAAAAAGCATGCAATTCATTCAATTATGATACAACGAAATCAAAGATAAATAAATATTAGCATGGCATGAAAAATTAAATAATGATAAGCAGTCACCTGTGCTGACATATTATTCTACTTTCGATATTGATTGACACATGGCGGGAGATTTACTGCACACAAATAGTTAAAATAAAGCTGATAAAATAATTTCGACGGCTAGGATAACATTTTTAATAACAAAAATATATTTATTCCTATTTAAATATTTCTATCTAATTTAATGGAATAAAATTATATATACCATTTGCTGCTTCTTCTGTAATGCACGTGGATTTCTACTTCCGGAAAAACACAACTTGCTAATATTTTCAATTTATTAGAGTTTTGTAATTAAGAAAAACTGATTTGTACTTAAGGAGGACTTTAGTTTAAAACATTTAATTATGTCGCACTATAATTTTAAGAAGATAACTGTTGTGCCAACAGCAAAGGTATTTATAATTTAAAGTCATATGTTTTCGCGACGTTCTGATTTTGACATAGCCAACTTTAACATAGTAAACCTATTTCAGAGTAATGTAAGAGACACATTCTTAATATTGAATAATAGGATTGTGCTAGAAGACTGAATGGAAAAGCATAATATTGATATTTAGGTTAATTACCAATTTTGATCCAGACCCTTCTCCTTGGTGGATGATGGATCGACCCATATCATAAGCAGTTTCCTGGATTAGACCCCCATTTATATTTCAAGAGTAAAACTTGTCATTAAATATACATATATATACTATCAAATTAGTGGCAGATCTAAAATGCACATACTTTTAAATTTTTCTAGCATTTTTTATTGTTGGTCGAAAGCTATACATAGCTTATGTTTTGTGAAATGTTATATACAAATTACATGTATATATATTTACCGACAATAAATAAATTTTGATTTGATTTGATTGATTTGTTCAATTAGTGCATTTTTTCCGCACCAAAAACTGTCTTTTATCTGTGACAATTATTGCATACTTGTATGGTTAATTTAATCTTAATTCTATCTTTGCAAGGGAGCCAAAAATGCTAAAATTGTTTCTTTTTAAAGTTAAAATAATTAATTTAGTCTCTGAGTTAGAGATGATCCAATTAATAAGTATTGTGTTCAATAAAAATTTGAATGTTGCATTTTTCAAAAATCACAATGTTTTTTAATATGGAAAAAAATTGAAAAGTAAATAACATTCATCAAATTTACTATTTAGCACTGGACTGGTAGCCCATGTCCAGTGAAAATTAGTTTGGGCCAGTGAAAATTTTAAGAAAATTTAGTTAAATCAGTGATTTTTTCCCCAGTTTTTAAAACAACCTGTGGCTTTCTGGAGGGGAACATACATATATATCTTTTAATCCACCAATTCTGATGAGCATAACATATGTTACAAACAGGTTATAGTACATATAATCAAATACATATGGTAACATTTGTAAATTGAGTAACATGCATAAACATGGTACACTTCAAATATTATAGAACATATAAATTACAAGAGTTTCATGAATACGTCGATAGTATAAATGAATATATTAGCGAAAGTTAAATCGAAAGCATATATTCTACATTATACAACCGAATCAAAATTCATTACAGAACAGAACATAATCTTAAGTCTAGTTTCGAAACGAAAGTACTAGAACAAAGAAGATGTGTTTCAATTCATCAACAACACACCTGTACAATCAAAATTGCCAAATTGAAGGAGAGCATCCATGTATATTGGCATTTATGTAACATAAACAGACGGTCTATTGGCTTTAGTACAGATGCTACATTAAACAAGTAAGCATAGTCTATAGGCAAATGCATGGTTGATAAACCCGTTCATTGAGCACAACACGGATACTTGTATAAGTTTATCACATTGATCCGAGGGCGACATATCAATAAAAGATTGATAACCTTCATATCCCCACTTATCAATTAAACAATCCCACAATTTAGCTCTCTCAGAATCCTTATTTGGGCAAAAGCACACTAGGTGTTCAACAATGTTTTCACATACTCTTTTGCAGTTGGAGCATTCCGTAGTGTATTTTCTAGACACTTGACGAGAAACAATTTTCATAAGTTGCCTACACATGAATATAAGTTTATGATTTTGCCTTGCAACATTCCAAAGTAGACAAGACTTTGAATTCTTGGAGAACATGGTATTCAAGAAACTATATTGCTCAGTTAGTCTATTTAATATTAGTGTTCGCTCCCGAGACAATACACATTTTCCAAGTAAATCCTTCCAAGCATAGTTTGATGGAAAAATGCCGTCAGCAGCATAACTGTCCAAAATATACTTCAACTCATATTTTTGCAATATGCGATAAATGTCCGGTAAAAATCCGTGTGACTGTTTGTCGCCATTTAAAAAGTGGAAAAGTCTTTTATTGAAAAATCCTTTTGCGAGGTATTTATTTGGCAGTCTACAAAGCTGACCTAAGAATTGTAGTTTTTTTATGGTCAATTATTGTCTCAATAGAATTTGCACCAATCGACAATAGAGTGAGATCAGTTGAGGTACATGGATGAAATGATTGAATATTCTTAAGGCAAAATCTATGGGATTGTTCTAGGCGTTGAATGTCGGAACCGGTGAGAGTGGACCAAAGTTCGCATCCGTACAAAGACTTCGGAATGACGATGGAACTATAGATCACCATAGAAGAGATTGGGTTTAAGCAAATGGGACTGATTCCACTGTTCACAATGCTAAGATATGTCCCACGTAGTTTATTGCACGAGTCCTCAACGATATCTTTCGTCGAGAGAAAAGAGTCCGATTTAATGCCAAGATGAACATAATTGGTTACTTCGTTAATCACTTCATTACCAAGTTTGAAAGCCCTGTTATTGTCTATTTTAAAGTGCTCATTGAAAGAAATAATTCCACATTTAGACGCATTGTATTCATACCTCCATTTCTTGGAATATCTGTGACAAATATCCAGCATAGTGTTAAGACCCGAAATTGAAAGAGACACCAAGGTCTAAGGGTGTAACGGTTTACCGGTATACCGATATATTGCAATATGAAAAAATAAATTTCGTACCGCGGTACGATCTTTTGAAAACCGGTATTTTATAAAAATCATAATTTTCAATTAATTGCCTTCTAATTTTGTACAAATTTCACATAAAATCTTTAATTGGCAAATTTTGTTGGCGCCAACGTAAGATAAAAGTATCCGACAACTAGTACACTTATTAGTCAATAAGCGGCCGCATAATTTACATAAGCGGCCCAGATGTGAAAGGTCACACGCGACTAGTTTTGTTTATCAAATTGTGTGACACTTTACTTTCTATTTATTCATTACATTTTTATTAAGTTTCTACTAAAAATATATACATATAATAATAATATATGAATGTTACTCCATCTTTACATCAAAACATATACACGACAATACGTATTGCAATATATTGCAATACGCTTCAGCTAAATGGCAATATATTGCAATACGGTTTTTGCTGTATTGTTACACCCCTACCAAGGTCATATCATCTGCTACTGTTGGAGCACTTATGTTGTTATTGTACACACTTATGCCACCGTTACTGTTTTCTAGTAAATTTATCAATTCATTTATATACAGTAAATATAGGATCGGGGAACTTTTTCCTCCCTGCCTTGTGCCACGAAGTACGGGGAACCAATCAGAATAAACGCCTTTATATCGAACACAACTGGTCATATTTTGATACATAGCACGGAACGCTAAGAAAGTTGTAGTGTCAATATTTGTATCAAATAGTAATTTATGAAATAAACCATCATGCCAGACAGTATCAAAAGCTTTACGCCCGTCTAAAAATGACACATATAATTTTGAGCCATACTCTCTAGCGTAAAATATACTTTCTCTTAAAATGAATGACGTCATTAAGCACGAGAGACCGTCCTGAAATCCACCTTGTTGAATATTGATGGTAGAGAGAATATCATCTTTTGATCGTGCAATAAGAACAGATTCATATGTTTTAAGACCTACTGGAACTAGGGTAATAGCCCGGTGATTGTCCGGATCGTCTTTTCTTTTATTACCTCCTTTATGAAGAGTAATAATCACACCACGCTTGAGACTGTCTGGTACATGCGTTGAGCGTAACATTCTAGTGTAAATATTTGCTAATGCAGGGGAAACAACACTTTTAGCGTACTTATAATGTTCATAAGTAACGTTATCATGCCCCGCAGCTTTACCTTTAGGAAACGAGCCTATGATTTCACTAATTAGTTCAGGCGTTACAACCGCAGACTGGTCGGGAACTAAATTAGGTAACGTATCATGTAGGCGTTGCGATATCTCTGTCTTAAAGACATTGTCATAGTCATTATCATCTATATTCGCATACATCTCTTTGAAGTAGCCATGCCAACCACGTGTTATTCTTACTTTGTCTCTGACCAACGTACCGTTGAATTTAATACCGGAATTGGCAGAAGATCTACTAGGTTTTCGGCGCCTATTCGTATTTTTCCAGAAGGTCACGGGGTCAACCTCTGCAGTGCGATCAACTTCCGCGTTTTCCTCGGCCATGTGCTCCGCAACACGACGTCGATGAATGCGCCGAAATTCACGTTTGGCGTTCTTATATTCGGTGTAAGCCGACCACTCGTGACCACGCGGCCGTCTTGTCTACACCACTCTTCTCGGAGTTTTGACATTTCACTATGACAGTGCTTAAGTGGGTCGTTCCAATATGGTTTCAAGTAAGAAACGGGGCGTCGCTTTGGTAAAGTCGCGTTTGCACCGTCCACAAGACAGCTTACTACTATTTCATGGTCACGATCAATAGATGCTGGGTCGAGATCAAAATCATTACATGTAATTTCTTGTAAAACTATTTGATAACAGAGTGTTATTATACAAATCAATTTGTTCAGGTGTGCATTTCGCCCAGTTTATCAAATCACCGCCTCTAGTAAAATCTTCTTGACCATTTCCGAGAAACTGAACATTTATGGTGCATAGAACTGGTCTATGGGTGGACACATTCAAACAATTGTCATCAAGTATTTCACAGCGCACGACATCCTCAGTAAGCTCAATGGGTAAACAAATAAAATCTATCAAAGTTCGATTTTTGCCGTCATATGAAACAAACGTAGTATTTGCACCAGTACAAATATCTGTGCAATTAATCGGCAAAAAGTTAGTATCTGCAAAAAAATTACACAATAACTTGTCCCGTGTACGATCGCTGTTGACCTCAAACTTCGAATTAAAATCCCCGAGATACAAGACTGTTCCCGAACTACTATGTGTATACCATATATTATAGAGTTTGTTTATATATTCTCTAAAGAACTTTACCGAGTGGTTGACGCATGGTAAATATACTTGGAAAATGTACATATACTGGTTTTCAGACACACTTCCGCACCAAAAACTGTCTTTTATCTGTGACAATTATTGCATACTTGTATGGTTAATTTAATCTTAATTCTATCTTTGCAAGGGAGCCAAAAATGCTAAAATTGTTTCTTTTTAAAGTTAAAATAATTAATTTAGTCTCTGAGTTAGAGATGATCCAATTAATAAGTATTGTGTTCAATAAAAATTTGAATGTTGCATTTTTCAAAAATCACAATGTTTTTTAATATGGAAAAAAATTGAAAAGTAAATAACATTCATCAAATTTACTATTTAGCACTGGACTGGTAGCCCATGTCCAGTGAAAATTAGTTTGGGCCAGTGAAAATTTTAAGAAAATTTAGTTAAATCAGTGATTTTTTCCCCAGTTTTTAAAACAACCTGTGGCTTTCTGGAGGGGAACATACAGCATGATAAATCAGAAAAAGGGGAAACCTGAGATCAAATTCCAACAACTGAAAATGGGATTTATCTGCACATTTTATGAAAAAAATTGATTTCAATTTAATTTAACATGCATGGTTCATAGCAGAGGCTATCTATAGGGACAGATTTCTGTCTTCTAGCTGATATACTAGTAAGTCAGATGCTATTAAATCATGGTTCTGGTAAGGAAGAGCACGAGGCATTTTAGGGGAAAATATTAGCTTTTTAGGGGAAAATATACCTATTTTTGGCTAGGGGAAACAGCCTTTATTCGGCTGTAAAATACAGTGAAAAAAATCACTGTAAGTATATAGTAGAATAAATTCAAAACTGATGTTCGGGCCAGTAAATTAATGATATTAGTATATTTCATATTCAATTTGACTTTTTATCATCTTCCTGATAAACTTGATCTTAATCATGATTTGTGCAAGATTATAACTCCAGGAGAAGTAACAACATTATAATTTATATTGTTAGAATAGAATAAAGTTTATTTACCAACCATGGGTCATTTACATGACATGTTAATCACAGAATAAGACAATAATCATAATGAGATCAATAGTGATCAGATGAGATCAAAAGTAAGTTAGGATATTAAATAATAAAATAACCAAGGCTTAATTGGTATTAGATAAACACAAATTACACAACTAACAAAGAGTAGTGAGACAAATAAAATAATTATGAAAACAAATAAAGCTGAATAAAATTTTAACTATTTGAACACATAAAGTTGTTATGTTTTATAGGACTTTGTGGATATAGTGCTGTCTAAAACACAGAGGAAAACACCAACAGTTGTGCACAAACAGTACAAGATCTCGAGGATTAGACAGTTTTATACGAGGAAAATCAAGTTTTCTCAGCAGACTTTCCATGATAAGTTAACACAGATTATCACAGACTTCCCTAAGCTTGAAGTAAGTTTAACCATAGACCAACTGTAGTTGTTAAGTGGATTGCCTAACTTTATATTTAGAACATTACCATTGACAAGGTGAAGTTAATTAATGGATTTGCCTAACTTTATATTAAGAACATCCCATTTTAAGTTTGACTGGGATTTGAGCTTTCAAATTTCAAGAATAATTAAGCTACCAAAAATATAAGTTCTATAATGTTCAAGGCATAGAACCTTAGGTTCCATCAGGTTATCGTCTAAAATTCAGGTAAATAATTGTTTACTGGATGACTTTATATTTCTGTCACTATGTGATCTTAAGTTTTATAATGTTAATTTACATCTTAGATTTGTATGTAGCTTTTAATTTTTGAATTAAACAAATTATTTTTCTCCAATTCCATTTAAGTGTAACCAGTGGACTTATCTGTTATGAACGGTTGTGCACCATGAAGCTATTGTGGCAGGGGATTAGCTTGGAAAAACCACATTTGACGAGTTCAGGATAACATCTATTGATTATAAATTTGTTTTGCTTATATTTCAGGATGTGCATCCCTTTTATGCTGATTTGATGAACGTATTATATGACAAAGATCATTTCAAGCTGGCTTTAGGGCAGATCAATACTGCAAGACATCTTATTGATAAGTATGTACTAAACCATGCTCTGTTCATTTAATAAATCTTTCCTGCTTTGAATTGGGACTGTCCAGTTTTACATATTGATAGAGATTTTAATATGAGAATGCTTTGATTTGCTTACTTGCATGCAAGCCATGATTTATACTGACTGCATAGTCCTGATATTATCACAGCTGGCTTTCAAATATATAAAATTTCATGTGTATTGCCTTGTGATTTTTACCACCATTCTAGAATGGTATACATTTGACAACCCTCTGATTTTTATCATCAAAGTGTTTTGTTGTTTGGTGTGCTTACGGCCATTTTCTATGTTTCATCATATTTGTAGATTTCTAATTCTTTATCAGAATAGAGCTATCGTTTAATTTGAAATACCATCCATAGAAACACTTCTTATGTAAATTACATTAAAGTGACCATATTGTAATATAATGGAGAACATTCAGTTAAACATCTTTTGACTTATTTCCTTTGAATCAGAAAATACACAATGTGCAGTAAGTTGTAACAAACTGTACACAAAAAAGCAAAAATACAGAATCCCTAAAGTAAAAAACAAAACAGATTTATTATTTACTCAATTCAATTGTCTTTATTCAGCCAGGTATCAACAAAATACATAAGGGGTACTTAATTTATGTCTTTTATATGTAATTAATGTACTGGAGAAATCTCTTGTTAGATTATAGTGATGTTGATTATTGATACATTATAGTGTTTACACTGTTTGTTATCTAAAGCATATATACTTGCATTTAAGGCTTATAGTAACATATTTAAGGCTTATAGTTACGCACCTTGCCTTTAGTAAGTCTGTTACTAAACATAACTTTTTGTTGGGAACAAGTACTATAGACTTTGTCTTATATTTACAGTGTTGCTAAAGATTATGTCAGGCTGATGAAGTATGCCGATAGTTTGTACAGATGTAAACAGCTAAAAAAAGCAGCACTAGGAAGGTAAGTGTGTAATCTGATAGAAAAAGATAAAGTTAAATAAGTTAAAATATTGAATTCTGTGGAATTTCTTATTCACTGAGGTATATTTTACTATTAGGAATAGGAAAACATTAAGTGTATGCTCAGTGATAGCAAATTTATATTTACAAAATTGTTTAGCTAGTTTAACTTTTTCTCATAAATTGAGTGTACTCAGCATTTAACTATTTCTCGGGATATTTCTATACATATATATATATAATGTGAAGTGAACACAATATATATTATTAGAAAAGATAGAAAACATGTTAAGAATCAGACGAAATTTAAAAGTAGATGAACTTCCTTGTTCTGCAATCACTTTATATATATTTTAACTTAATAATCTATTCCTTGAGTTATTAAAGGATTTTAGCATAAAAATTTCATCCTACATATGTTTGTGTATGTTCTATAAATAGAATGTGTACGATAATGAAGAGGCAGAAACAGAGTTTGGAATATCTAGAGCAAGTTAGACAGCATCTGTCACGTTTACCTACCATAGACCCAAATACTAGGACATTACTTATATGTGGTTTCCCAAATGTTGGCAAGTCCAGTTTTATAAACAAGGTAACAAATTTATTTAGTTGTTAGTCCCAATCTGATAAAAATCAGCTCTAAATAACCCTCCGCTTTTAGATCTGAACGTGACCATATACAAAATTATTTCTGGCAACTATTCACACAGCCAATCATCATTGAGCTTTCATAATTAAGTAAGCGATGTGGTTTATAATTTTTACTCTGGGAAAACCAATACTGTTAGGTAATTTTCACAATTTCGAGAACGAACATGGCGTTGTCCATAAAGCCCTAAACTGGCTAAACAATTTTTCCCATTAAAAATTAACTCTAAGTAATTTGTTCAAAGTTACTTCAAACATTTTTTTTCTAACAAAAATCAACAATTTGTTTAACTTCCATGTATAATGGTATTTTGATACTTCTTCAAACTGGTTTGATTGCATGGCTAAAATTATTTTCTTGGGAAATCGAATTATAAAGGTGAAACATATACGGCCGTCTTCAGATCTACATAACAGAAACATGTAGATCTGAACTTTAGTCAGATTGTTGTTAGTCGATACATATACTTACTTTTTGTGCACTTTGCTGAATGACAGTTCTTAGGTAGTTAAATATTTGTATGATGAACATGAGTTGATGACAGAAATGTTAATAAGTCCAGGGCTCGAGCTAGTGGGCGATTCGGGCGAAATAGTCGCCGAATTCCGTCTGACTTCGCCGACATCCTACATAAAAGCGAAGATGAAGTCGCCCGATTTTATTGATCCATTATTGAAAATTACCAACAATAACAATAACTGAATAACATGTTGTGTGTGTTTGCTTTGTTTACCCTCGCCGCCGGAAAAAGGGACTGTCATGCATCTCAATCAACGCGAAATGTCATTAATCCATTTGTTTACCAACATGTCATAAAAGTCTAATTAACAGACACTCGAGGAACAATTAGACTCCGCCCACGGCGAGATTACCGATACGTGCGAGAAACCAATCGTAATTCACGTTTTAATCGAGGCGACATTATTAAACCAATCATTAAATCGCTAACATACAACTACCCGTAACAATTATTTATGATGGAGGGATCAAACGTCAATTAAATTTTCACTATCGAATGATTGTCAGAATTAAGAGGACCGCTCGTCATATAACTGTAACGGTCATTTTAAATGAAAGTTATGATAACCTTTTTTGTCGACGAGTTAAATTTGATAAAATTGACGGCGTATTACACTGTATTTATTACAAATGAAGTTAAATTAAAGATCGTTTCTTTCGTTATCTACTTTCATTTTCTTTACAAGATAAGTGAATATGAATATAATGTCCGGCGCAAGCTTTTTAATAGTAAATCAGAAGGGAATAACTGTTAATCCACCCATGATATGATCTATGATAGGAATCAACTATGGCTATTTTTATCTTCATTTAATGCAATGGTTGCATTACATGATGCTCATTCTTATTACTTGTTTCAAACTACTTTTAAATTAAAATTGAATATTCTGTTGTAACACATTTCCAATTCATTTAATAAGATATGTACAATGAGTCAACATAATTGCGATAACATACAACAAACATCGATAAATGAATCTCCTCACTTCTCCCTAAAGTCTCCCCACTTCTCCCTAAAGCAGCTGGAGGGAGAAGTGACTTCTCCCTAAATTTTGAACCTAGCTTGAGCCCTGAAGTCTGATTTATAATACGGCATAATTACTTTCCTTGAGCATAAACTGAAATTCCTTCATAAATTGACAGCAGTCTTATGCATGGATTATATCATCTGATGAAAAGTGATGTTACTAACATGCAGTATAATAATGCTTAATTTTAATTTCACATGATTTACAATAAATTTAAAGGAGGGAGTTAATTGTGTTTTTAAGATAATTTTGAAGTTTCTCTTGAATCAAACTGAAATTTTTGAAGTAACATCTTGCAAGTTGTTTTGTCATTCTGCCATTGTTTATCTTTATATTATATTATTAAAAGACTTTAATTATTGAAGACAAATTTTTAAAATGATTGATGGTTGTTTATGCTGTTTTAAACGTATACCTACAATTGTAATTTATTATTCAGATTACACGAGCTGATGTTGAAGTTCAGCCATATGCCTTTACCACAAAGTCACTGTTTGTTGGTCACACTGATTATAAATATTTAAGATGGCAGGTATGTATTCTAGCAAGCTTATTTTGAACTTTTTACTCAATTTTGTATATCCATGAAAATAACAACTTAATACTGTTCATAATGTAAGAATATGATGTTACATTGACAAAAAACATTTAAAAGTACAGACATAGAAAAATATTGAAAGTTTTAACATATGTATAATGTTGTAATTTAGGTTGTAGACACACCAGGTATTCTGGATCATTCACTTGAGGATAGAAACACAATAGAGATGCAGGCTATCACAGCTCTCGCTCATTTACGTGCCGCAGTTCTCTATGTTATGGACATCTCAGAACAGTGCGGACATTCTATAGAACAACAGGTAGTGTATTGAACTAATGTTATGTACAGTTAGACCTTCATTAAAGACCGCACTTTTATTAAAGAGAAATGTATCCCATAACAGAGAAGCAGACTAGTCAAGAAATATGTCTGTTGCTGCTGATTGCTATTGGTTTCCAGTATTTAAAATTAAGAAATATTTCCCAATTTGCATTTTAAATGTTATAGCTATTAACAACCTTATGTTTCGGGGCGTCCGTGGCCGAGTGGTTAAGGTTGTTGACTTCAAACGTCTTGCCCCTCACTGCTGTGGGTTCGAATCCCGACAGGGACATTCGATTCTTTCATGTGAGGAAGCTATCCAGCTAGCTTTCGGAATGTCGGTGGTTCTACTCGGGGTGCCTGTTCGTGCCTGAAATAATGCACACAGGGGCACCTGAGGTCTTTCTCCACCAGTGAAAGCTGAAATGTCGCCAAATGACCTATACTGTGTAGATGTGACGTTAAACCCAATCAAACAAACAAACAAAAACCTTATGTCTCCACATCCTTGTTTCAAATTGGTTGAAATACATTTTAGATGTTATTAATGTTGAATGTCATAAAAGCTTTTTACTAAATAGATAGGACTTCTATTGACTAATAGCCTAGGGTGCTGACTTTGACTTAGAATTTTAAATAATATCAAATGTAGAGTAAGAAATTATTCATCAACCTTAAGGAGAGTTGAAAGTTGAAAGATGTAGTTTTTGAAAATGGTATGTATGGCCTACCTTCCCTGTTGAAAGGCGTGTTGCCATATGACCTTTTAAATTGTTAAATTGATGCCTGAATCCTTAAAAAAAGTAAAGTGTTTAGTTTACAAACATGATGCTATGATTGGTACATGCCACTTATTCACATATAAAGAGGTATTTAACCATATTTTATGTATATTACATTATTGAATATGAATTATTTCAGGTATCTTTATTCAGAAATATCAAACCCCTCTTTGCAAACAAGCCACTGATAGTGTGTGTAAACAAGGTGGACATATTAAAAGTGGATGATCTTCCAGAAGATAAAAGGGTGAGTTCTTTGTCATATTGATCAGGAAACGTGTAAAAATACTTCTGCTAGTAATTTCCATATAACACTATTTTATGGTTTCAAACAACAATGGTCAGACAGGATGACCAAGTATTTAAAACAGTTCTTTTAACTTTTTTTTGCATGAAACAAAGTTTTCAATCTAAAGAAAAAGGTCAAGGTCAATAAAAAGTTACATAGGTAGGCATGGATATCACCGTCCTGAAAAAGTGTGTAAACTAGTATGCCATATTTTGCAATCTTTGACTGCATTTTATAGCAGATTTTTCAGGTTTAAAACACAGTCAACTTTTGTGAGTGACTGGAGAGGTCAGCCTTTTTAAAATTGATATATAACAAAAAAAACCTGTTTGGTCCATAACATTGATAAAGCTTTGTTTGTTTATTGATATGCTTTTATTGCAGGATATGATTAAAAGTTTTGAAGATGAAGGGATACCTATAATGAACATGAGTACATTAACAGAAGAGGGTGTCATTGAGCTTAGAAATGAGGTATGTATAATTCTGGGACATGATAAAACGGCACAAGCAACTGCAGAATACATGAGATATCTTTTGTTGGCAATTGACTGCTGATGGATCAATAAGTGCAGTGTTTATTTTATGTATTAATACTGTTAGTATAAAGTTTTCATACATAAGGATTATTAAAATTTTACCCCAGCTGGCTTAAATTTCTCTTTTTATACGCTGTTTACTACTTACAAAAATTACTATTTAACAACTATCAATAAGACTTAAAGGAGGTGTGAGCGCCTTATTGCGTGAAAAGATACATGTAATGCACAATGATTTGCTTGTTTTTAAATTCAGATGTGCAAGATGTGTGTATACACATAGCAACATTTAGTCCTATTTTCTACCATAACATCAGAAATGAGTACAGCACATATTTTCATGAAAGAAGCTTTACCCACACTACAACAAAAAACTTCAAACAAATTTCCACCTCATTCCTTTAGAAGTGTCACACTTAACTGTGGACAACAATAAAGACATGCTTATATAATCAAACCTGTGAAGAAAGCCCCCCCCCCACCCAGGAAGAGAAAAACATAATCTTTATATGCAAGTGGTGTTTATTTTGAGGTTATTTTTATTCCAGTTTATCAATGGTACATTGTCATAAAGTAGCCTTTATTTGACATTGTCATAAAGTAGCATTTGTTTGACATTGTCATAAAGTAGCATTTGTTTGACATTGTCATAAAGTAGCATTTGTTTGACATTGTCATAAAGTAGCATTTGTTTGACATTGTCATAAAGTAGCATTTGTTTGACATTGTCATAAAGTAGCATTTGTTTGACATTGTCATAAAGTAGCATTTGTTTGACATTGTCATAAAGTAGCATTTGTTTGACATTGTCATAAAGTAGTCTTTATTTGCAGGGTTATCTTTATTCAGAGGTGGCCTTTAAAACAGGTTTGACTGTACCATAAGAATAGTCAGATCGTTTTTCATTATAATTTTGATGATATATTAATATGTGTATATATTTTTCAGGCATGTGATCGGCTATTAGCACACAGAGTGGAAACAAAGATAAAAACAAAGAAAGTCAATGATATTGCTAACCGTTTACATGTTGCTGTACCACAGAAGAGAGACCATAAGGTAAGTGGTTCTGTTATCTATGGTCCTTTCAGTTACTGTATCAAATCTAGTTATACATGTATGTTCCTTTCAGTTATTGCATTAAATCTAGTTATACATGTATGTTTTCGGAAATCAGATTTTAAGTTATGATATGATTTTAAATGCATTTGGATGAGACAAGAGAAATTATATAGAGGATATTTGTTTGTTTACATGTAAGATAGAAATATATTTCACTGAGTGGATACCAGATGCAATATTTATATTGAAGAATTGAAGATATTTTTTAAAGCCAAACAAGCAAACATATTTAGAAAGCATATGGAAGTATATTTATTTGTCTGCAGGACAGACCAGCATTTATACCGGAGGCAGTGCAGAAAAAGAGACAAGCTATGGAAGTTGAACGAGAAAAAAGGCGATTGGTAATTCTAATTTACTTATGCTTTTATGAAAAAAAAGTATTTAAACTGTTACAGAAAACCAATGCAAAACAAGTTGGTTTTGAGGGAAGACCTAATGTACTCTTCCTGGTGTTTGCATTGCCTTCACACTTCAGATAAGTTTTTTAAGTTTTTGCATGCCAATTGGTGTATCCAAAACTACTAAAGCGAAGGGTTCCAACTTAAAACACTTCTTTGAGAGCATAATAGGTCACTGCCCAAGACATATTACTCAAATATAGACTTGACCGAATTATGGCCTTTTGAATTTATAAAATTCTTCATTATCCAGGTTCTTGTTTTATATCAACCATTGAGAATATTAGAGCACACTCTTACTGACAGCTTTTACTTTTTAGCTATTTATGTGCAGAAAATTGAAATTGTAATTTGTATAGCTTTTGCATATTAATTATTATTTTAAGTGATAATAATTACCATTGAAATTTGCATGACACCCTATTCTCATATATTGGAGAATGTATATTTATATTTTAGGAACGTGATATTGAAATGGAGGAAGGAGATGACTACATACTTGATCTTAGAAGTAAGTTTTCATTAAATATTATTGGGTTATGTGTTATATTTATAGACTAATGTTTTCTTTATTACTGGACAAAGGTTTTATGACATTATGAAGCATGTTTAAATGGAGCATGTTTCTTAGGTATTTGTGTTTGGGATAGGCAGGTTAAACTTCAGGGTTACCGAAAATTATAAGACATTACTAGTTATATTTTTGTCTATAAGCAGTACACTTAATTTTTAGTCATAACCTTTTTAGTTGGAGCCTTCCTGGCTAGTTCTTGGCAGTGGGTTTGAAAACCTCCAGGAATTTTGAAATCTCTCGTATCAGGAAGTAACAGAGTTAGCTTACAGAAGGTTGATGGTCCTACTTGAGAGTGTTTTTCTGCCTGAAATACTGCAAGCAGGGTCACCCCTGAGGTTTTTCTATGCCAGTTAAGCTGAAAAGTCAATATGTGACTTGAATCGTGTGTGAAAGTTGATCAAAACAAACAAAAAATCACCCTGCTTTGGGTCTTCAAAAAAAATGTGTCGGTTACAAAACAAATAACTTTGAAAATCAAGGTTATTGTAGTAATAATGAACATAGACTCACATATATAGGTGTGAACTATAGAAAGCTGATTGTAACAAATTGTTTGTATCTGACAGAAACATGGGACTTACCTAATGAGGAGGAGAAATATGATGTTTTACCCGAGATATGGGAGGGACACAATGTTGCGGACTTTATTGATCCTGAAATTATGGAGGTACTTTGATTTGTTCATCTTTTTATCAAAATCTGTTTTGAAGATTTTAATTTAATTCAATGTCATATCCGCTATATAGATAAAAAAAATCATTATTGAGTTATACACATGAACATGAAAAAGGTACTCAGAAAAGATGAGTAAATTAATGACCTGACGTTGCGCATACATTCCTGATGTTTTATTTTAATATGCACTTGTATGCTTAAAATAGCTAATTTAAATAGCATAGAAGTTATATGTACATATGGTATTTATATTTATTTTTAGGTAAGACTTAATCCTTTTTAGTTATGCACAGTATCAGTGCATTCAGTGTTTTGATTTAGCATGCTAAATAATTCTCTGAATGCCAAAACGAAATGCCTTGAGATAGTAAAAAGACTATACCGTATATAATGCAATTTGATCTATTTATAGAAACTGGATGCATTAGAGAAGGAGGAGGAGTTAAGAGAGAAGGCTGGTTACTATGACGATGATGATAGTGAGGAAGATGAAGAAATGAAAGATTTACGTAAAACTGCTGCCAAGTAAGTAAAGTGTGGAATTCATAGATAAATAAAATCACAAAAGTATTTCTCCTAAATTGAATGGGTGATTCGGAGTTTTAAAAGAATTACTTCATATTAGACAAATATGATAACTAAAGTTTAAATAAAGGGTTGAATGATGGTGTCATAGAATTATTACACTCGAGTTTTGTATCATAATAATTGAGCCGCGTCATGACAAAACCAACGTAATACGTTTGCGACCAGCATGGATCCAGACCAGCCTGCGCCTCCGCGCAGTCTGATCAGGATCCATGCTGTTCGCTTACAAACTCTATAACAAGTAGAGAAACTGATAACGAACAGCAAGGAACCTGATCAGACGGCGGGGATGCGCAGGCTGGTCTCGATCCATGCTGGTCTCAAACCCATTATGTTGGTTTTGTCGTGGCGCAGCTCATATAAGCTTATATCTCCTCAGACTTGAATGTGTATCATAGGTTTTGTTGTGTCGCCTCTACGGAGTAGTGGCGACATATAGGGATCACTTCTCCGTCGTCTGTCTGTCCATCTGTCTGTCTGTCTGTCTGTCTGTCTGTCCGTCTGTCCGTCCGTCCGTCACAAAACTTGTCCGGACTACTCCTCATAAACTACTGGTGCAATTTCATCCAAACTTTACAGGAATGATCAGTACCAAGTCTAGTTGTGCATATTGTCAGGATTTTCCGGTTCAATGATTTTTGTCAGAGTTATGACCCTTCAATAATTTTTAATTTTAAAGTTTGTCCGGACTACTTCTCTTATACCACTAATGCAATTTCAATGAAACTTTACAGGATTGATCTGTAGCTCAAGTCCTTGCGCATATTGCACGGGTTTTCCGGTTGAATGATTTTTGGCCGAGTTATGGCCCTTTGATAAAAAGGTTTCTTTTTCTGTGTGTTGCCAGATACACAAAAGCTTGTCCGGACTACTCCTCATAAACTACTGGTGCAATTTCATCCAAACTTTACAGGAATGATCAGTACCAAGTCTAGTTGTGCATATTGTCAGCATTTTCCGGTTCAATGATTTTTGTTTGAGTTATGGCCCTTTAATAATTTTTATTTTTAAAGTTTGTCCAGACTACTTCTCTTATACCACTTATGCAATTTCAATGAAACTTTACAGGATTGATCTGTAGCTCAAGTCCTTGCGCATATTACACGGGTTTTCCGGTTGAATGATTTTTGGCCGAGTTATGGCCCTTTGATAAAAAGGTGTTTTTTTCTGTGTGTTGCCAGATACGCAAAAGCTTGTCCGGACTACTCCTCATAAACTACTGGTGAAATTTTATCCAAACTTTACAGGAATGATCAGTACAAAGTGGTTAGTCTAGTTGTGCACTGTCCGTCTGTCTGTCCGTCTGTCACAAAATTTGTCCCAACATGAAATTGGCCATCATGAGGCGACACATGTGATTACTGATCGCTCTTGTTTATCACTGTCAGTACTGCTTCTGATAACTTACCAGTATTGATAGTGGTAATATTCCTAGAAACATAGTCACGAACTGAGTAAATCACCTTTAACTTTCTGTCAGAATAAGTGCTTAAGAAGTCTACAGCCACTCACATTAAATGGAATAGTTGAAATAATTAAAACCTTGTTATGTAAATTAACATTTTAGAGCAAGATTTTTATGCCCCCGCCATGTAATGGCCAGGGCATATAGTGTTACCCTGTTCCGTCATTCCGTCCTTCCGTCCTTCCATCCTTCCGTCCTTCCGTCATTCTGTCATTCCGTCATCATCAGTTTCCGTTCATTATCTTAAAAACGGTTGCACACATTCAACTCAAATTTGACATATGAATATGTCATGACAAAATACAGGTCAAGTTCGAATTTGGTCATGGTTCGATGATTTTTGACAGAGTTATGCCCCTTTTACTTTGAAAATAATATGAAATTTCAGTTTCCGTTCATTATCTCCCCAACGGTACAACACATTCAACTCAAACTTGACATGGATATGCCATGACAAAATACAGGTCAAGTTCGAATTTGGTCATGGTTCGATGATTTTTGGCAGAGTTATGCCCCTTTTACTTTGAAAATAATATGAAATTTTCAGTTTCCGTTCATTATCTCCCCAACGGTACAACACATTCAACTCAAACTTGACATATGGATATGTCATTAGAAAATACAGGCCAAGTTCGAATTTGGTCATGGTTCGATGATTTTTGGCAGAGTTATGCCCCTTTTACTTTGAAAATAATGTGAATTTTCAGTTTCCGTTCATTATCTATCCAACGGTACAACACATTCAACTCAAACTTGACATATGGATATGTCATGACAAAATACAGGTCAAGTTCGAATTTGGTCATGGTTAGATGATTTTTGGCAGAGTTATGCCCCTTTTACTTTGAAAATAATATGAAATTTTCAGTTTCCGCTTATTATCTCCCCAACGGTACAACACATTCAACTCAAACTTGACATATGGATATGTCATTAGAAAATACAGGCCAAGTTCGAATTTGGTCATGGTTCAATGATTTTTGGCAGAGTTATGCCCCTTTTACTTTGAAAATAATGTGAAATTTTCAGTTTCCGTTCATTATCTTCCCAACGGTACAACACATTCAACTCAAACTTGACATATGGATGCGTCAAAAGAATGCGCAGGTCATGTTCAAATTTGGTCATGGTTCAATGATTTTTGGCAGAGTTATGCCCCTTTCACTTTGAAAGTAATATGAAATTTTCAGTTTCCGTTTATTATCTCCCCAACAGTACAACACATTCAACTCAAATTTGACATATGGATATATTTTTGGAATGCCCAGGCCAAGTTGGAATTTGGTCATGGTTCAATGATTTTTGGCAGAGTTATGCCCCTTTCACTTTGAAAATAATATGAAATTTACAGTTTCTGTTCATTATCTACCCAACAGTGTTACATATTCAACTTAAATTTGACATATGGATATGTCAAAGGAATGGGCAGGTCAAGTTGAAATTTGGTCATGGTTTGATGATTTTTTTTGCAGAGTTATGTCCCTTTCACTTTGAAAATAATATAGATACATCTTAGGAATAAGCAGTTTAAGTATGAATTTTGTTGTGGTTCAATGATTTTAGACAAACTTATCTTTCCTGAATGTTGGAAAAATTTTGTACTTTCAGTTTCAGCACTCATACTTTTAGCCATTATTTTGGCTACAAATATGAAATATGTTATTTTTAAAAGGTTAAGACTGAATAATTTCAGTGTCTTGAACATTGTATGAAAATGGTTTGTGTTAACATTTTAAAGTTTTAAGGGCTTTGAACTTAAAATGAAAAAAATAATTAATGCACCATCTGAAATTTTGGCTGCATGCGGGGGCATCAGTGGCATGATGACACATTTCTAGTTTGTTATTACTTACAACAAATATTTGTCTGTAAAAACATTAATTTGGTTCTATTACAGGATTCGTAATAAGAGACAGATAATAACGTTAGAAAGTGGAGAAAAGAGACGTATACAACGCCCAAGAGTTCCTAGAACAGCAAAGAAAATTGATTCTAAAAAGATGGAGGAAAGTATGGAGGCTCTGGGTGTAGAGATAGAAAACAAAGATGAGGTAAATGTTCTAACATTTATGATTCAGGTGACAGAGATACTGGCATAGACAATTGACCTTACAGTTGTTATAGTTACTTATATGCATTGATATAGGAGATTGAAAGTTTTACATCGGTCCAGTCATATTTATATACCTGTTAATGATAGCAAAACTATTTATTCATACAGAGTTAAGATGTAAAATTGCCATAAACACATCACAATCTAAATGGTTAACAGTTGTAACTAGCATGAATTATCAAAAAAATGTAGCTGTGTCATGCCAACATCCATATTATTATAATAACTACATGTATTAATAAACAATTTTATTATAACAATTTATAGGAAGAATGATCATTTTGAAGATGAATAAACTAGAAGATATTTGTGAAAAATCTGTAACATAAAATCAGGTGGCAATAATGTCTGACCTGTGCTTATATATATGACATTTTAAACACACAATGTAATCATGTTCAAAGAAATCTTTCATGTTTTATGTATTAATGTATGTATGATATATTATATTTGAAAGTCCGGCCAAAGTTGCTTCTCAACGAAACTAAGCAAATAATATAATTCAAGGTGTATCGTCGCTGACTAGCATCTGTGTTCACTAAATATATATATATATATATATATAACCTTATCTCTATATATACATTTACACATGTTCTCAGATGAACTTGTTTTTTGTCCCCTACCGGTTTAACCGTCCGTCTGTCTGTCAGTTTTTTCTTTTCTTCCTATGTTGAAAATTCTGGTTGATATGGCAACAAATAGTCTGAAAATATGGCAAATTTAACACATAAACTGGATCCAGTGATAACTCAAAAAGTACTGAAAATATTTTTATGAAACTTGAAATATGGATAGATGGCAGTCTGCAGATTATGCACATCTTTTTCTTTTCTTCCTATGTTAAAAATTCTGGTTGCTATTGCAACAAATAGCCTGAATTTCAAGACTTCTGATTTAAATTTTTCAGCTTTTTCACTATTAGTTCTTTATTTCTTAAGGTGTTTACTTCAAACTTTAAATAGAAGTTTTTGGTCATCAACCACATCATATGTGACAAGGTTTACAACTCTAGCACAAAAATTATCAGTATTACCTCCCTTGAACTTAGAATTTTTATGATAAAAAACGTCTTTTTTAAATAACTTCTTTATTTCCTAATGTATCTACTTCAAACTTCATATATATGTTTCTTATAATCACTCAACATTTTTGAGAAGGTTAAATACTCTAGCAAGACTATTTCCAGAATTATGTCCCCCTTGTACTTAGATTTTTTTCAAGAAATTGGTATATTTTACTCCAACTTCTTCATTCCTTATAGGATTTACTTTAAAATCCCACATCGTAATAATATGACAAGGTTGTATAAACATAATTTCCTTACAAGGCAGGGAAACTTAACACATTACTGTGAAATAGACAAACTTAGAACTCAAAAGATTTAAGTTCATTCATGTCATTCATTCACTGGTAAAATTGAATGGCCAATGGCCCATCAGAATTTTGCTGGGGTTCTAACCGGTAGGGGACTTATGGATTGCTTGCAATACTATGATAATTGCTTGTTAAATTTAGACATGCTTTGTTTATAACAATGTTATTGCTACAGTTAAACATAAATGTTAACAATTTCAGACACACTACAGTAGAGAGCGATCTAAAAGTGCGAGCCGAACATTGAAGAGGAAAAGGGAACCATCCGAGTCACTTGCCCAGTCACGCGCACGTAGTTCATCAAGAACACCACGCGATCAATCTGGCGTACGAGATGCAACAGTAAGTTTAAACTATATCCACACAAATATGTTAAAATAAACAGTCAGAACAAATAGTTCATTAACTGTGTGTGCATTAAAAGTGTTTTTTTTAAGTGTTCATTAAAGGATGCACCTGTTTTTCTATTGGCTATTTTGGTATTGATATTCAGTTTAATTCAGAAAGAGCTCTAGCATTAATCTTGACTTTCAGTTTCAATTGAATGTAGAATCTTATTTAAGCCTAGACCTATAAAAATGTCTTTTTCTCTCTACAGATTCGAAAATTTCAAGCGTACTTGAACAATTTTAGTGTAAATTCATGTAAATTCATTAAAATGCATTAACAGTATTGTGTATTTTCCTATTTGTCAAAATTGAAAATTTGATTGTGTAAATTTTGGTTATAAATGGTTTTAAAATTATCCAATTTTGGTTATAAATGGTTTTAAAATTATCCATTCTAGATGGCTAAAAAGGTGAAGAAGATTGGTAGAAAAGCACAGAAATCTTTCAATATGGAAGCTAGGAAGGGGGAGGCTGACAGACGTGTTCTCGATATGAAACCCAAGCATTTGTTCTCTGGTAAAAGAAAAATGGGAAAAACAGACAGAAGATAAACTGATTGAACTGATACTTATGTTTGGGAAATACATCTCATATTTACAATAATCACCATCTGAAATCTTTATTTTCCAATGTGGCACGATATGACAAGTAATACGTTAACAGGCTGTTAAACTAAAACTAACATACAAAAAATCAGTATGCAATTGTCATCATCAAGAGAAATATTATTTGAAACTAAAAGCCAAACTGGTTAATGTGCATATAGATGAAGATTACCACAACAGCTTTGTGTTAAAACACTAACAAGCACGATTTAATATAAGAAAAATGTCACCATTTTATGTTGATGTAAAACATTGTCTAACCTTTGAAACCTAAAGCTTTGTATAAAAACCAATATACTTCATGGGTGCAAATAAGTCAGATTTTCATGTATTTTTTTCCTGTATGAATATTGCTTATTGTGCAAGCGTTTGTTTTTACTTGTGAAAATGTTTTTCATTTATAGATATTGTTAGTGAAGAAAATATGTACCTAATTATATTTACTGTTGGTTAGGTAAATGAATGAACTTCAATGGACTAGGTTCAAGTGTATTTAATTTACTGATTGAGATGTTACATCTAGTTAAAGTCTTTTATGTGGAATCAATACTCCTCATTACTGTGTGTTTGAATCCTATCAGGGAGTTTCAAAGATATGAGGGGGTTAAAGTCTTGAGGTTTAATGCTCATTTAACTGGGGTTCCAATTCTTTTATGTGAGCTTATGGAACATCAGTGGCTCTCTTTTACATGAAATAATGCTTGGAAAGGCATTGGAGTACTTAATTCACTGTCTGTGTGACTTGAAAACCCAATTCAAATGAATAGAAATAAAAAATATAGTGACTGGTTTTAAGATATCTAAGCTAAACTTCTTACATGTCTGGAGCAAGTGTGTCTGTCAATCATTTTAGAACCAGCTTGTTCAGGTATTAATGCAAGTTTTGTCTTGGATTTAAAGAAAAGCATGTTAATATTTAACCTTAATTAGATAAGTCATCATAATCACAAACTCATGTGTATGAAATTATATTAAATAGGAATATTGGCATAAAATAAGGAATTAATATGATTTGCAATAAGCATGATATAGACAAGTATAAACAATATACAAATGTACATGGAGATGCATTTGAAAGTTAAGAAATTAATGAAGTTTAATTTTTTAATTGTTATGGTTGTTACACAAAATAAACATTGAAGAAGAATTGTGTTTTATTGTTTTTAGCTCACCTGAGCATATGCTCAGGGTGAGCTATTGGGATCACTCTTCTTCCGTCGTCTGTCGTCCGTCAATCGTCGTCCGTTCACACTTTTCAAACGACATCTCCTCTGAAACCATAAGGCAGATCATAATGAAACTTCACAGGGATGTTCCTTGTGTGAAGCCTTAACAAAGTTGTTCAAAGAATTCCATTCCATGCAGAACTCTGGTTGCCATGGCAACCAAAAGAAAAAACTTTAAACATCTTCTTCTTGATAACCCAAAGAGCTAGAGCTTAGATATTTGGCATGAAACATCTTCTAGTGAGTGTCTACCAAGATTGTTCAAATAAAAGCCCTGGGGTCAAAATTGGCCCTGCCCCAGGGGGTCATTGATTTTCCCTATAGGCATATAGTAAAAACTTAAAAAATCTTCTTTTAAAGAACCCAAAGAGCTAGACCTAAGATATTAAGCATGAAACATCTTCTAATGAGTGTCTACCAAGATTGTTCAAATAAAAGCCCTGGGGTCAAAATTGGCCCCGCCCCAGGGGGTCATTGATTTTCCTTATATGCATATAGTAAAAACTTAAAAAAATCTTCTTCTAAAAAACCCAAAGAGCTAGACCTAAGATATTAAGCATGGAACATCTTCTAATAAGTTTCTACCAAGATTGTTCAAATAAAAGCCCTGGGGTCAAAATTGGCCCCGCCCCAGGGGGTCATTGATTTTCCTTATATGCATATAGTAAAAACTTAAAAAAACCTTCTTCTACAAAACCCAAAGAGTTGGAGCTTAGATATATGGCATTAAACATGTTCTAATGGATGTCTACCAAGTTTGTTCAAATAAAAGCCCTGGGGTCAAAATTGGCCCCGCCCTAGGGGGTCATTGATTTTCCCTATATGCATATAGTAAAAACTTTAAAAGTCTTCTATTAAAGAACCCAAAGAGCTAGACCTTAGATATTAAGCATGAAACATCTTCTAATAAGTGTCTACAAAGATTGTTCAAATAAAAGCCCTGGGGTCAAAATTGGCCCCGCCCCAGGGGGTCATTGATTTTCCCTTTATGCATATAGTAAAAACTTTAAAAAATCTTCTTCTAAAAAAACCCAAAGAGCTAGAGCTTAGATATTTGGTGTAAAACATGTTCTAATGGATGTCTACCAAGTTTGTTCAAATAAAAGCCCTGGGGTCAAAATTGGCCCCGCCTTAGGGTTCATTGATTTTCCCTATATGCATATAGTAAAAACTTTAAAAAATCTTCTCTTAAAGAACCCAAAGAGCTAGAGCTAAGATATTAAGCATGAAATATCTTCTTATCAGTGTCTACCAAGTTTGTTCAAATAAAAGCCCTGGGGTCAAAATTGGCCCCGCCCCAGGGGGTCATTGATTTTCCCTATATGCATAAAGCAAAAACTTAAAAAAGAATCTTTTAAAGAACCCAAAGAGCTAGAGCTAAGATATTTAGCATAAAACATGTTCTAATGGGTGTCTATTTAATTTGTTCAAATAAAAGCCCTGGGGTCAAAATTGGCCCCGTCCCAGGGGTCATTGATTTTCCCTATATACATAGAGTAAAAAGTTAAAAATCTTCTATTAAAGAACCCAAAGAGCTAGAGATATTTAGCATAAAACATGTTCTAATGGATGTCTACCAAGTTTGTTCAAATAAAAGCCCTTGGGTTAAAATTGGTCCTGCCAGGGGGAGGGGGGGGGGGGCAAAAGTCATTGTTATTCATAATTTGTGTATAGTAAAATCTTAACATCATGAAATATCTTCTAATGGGTGTCTTCCAAGTTTGTTCAAATAAAAGCCCTTTGGTTTAAACTGGCCCGGCCCTGAGGGCCTATGTTCAGGTGAGCGACCCCAGGGCCATCATGGCCCTCTTGTTTTCTTACAAGGTCACTTCTCTAGATAAACATGTGTCATATTATCTCTGGAAAATAACAAATTTCATGTATTTTGTGACTTTTGTCCCTTAAGCAAAACTTAAAACCAGGCATGACACACATGTTCCTTTAGATGACATGCTAAGCTATTTTTCTTGACAACTAGATATGACAAAAAAGTATGACATAAATATGCCCCACTCTTTGGGGGGGGGGGCATTTAGAATTGCCCATATCTGTCCGTCCATGCATGTGTGTATTCCTATGCTGTGTATTATTAGCTCAAAGTGTTTGAGCTAGAGTCAACAAACTTGACAGGAAAGTTTATCAGCATGTGAAATTGTGCACCTGGGATGTCGTGTATTTGGTTTTGGTATTTACATTGTAGTTTTGTTAAGAGTTATTGCCTTTCACTTAACAAAGGTAGATTCATGGCTTTTGTACATTGCACTAGTGTACTTTCTCAATTTCTTCAAATTCATTCAATATTTTTCAAGTTATTCTCCGGACAAACATTTTTTAATAACATAAAGAAAGTAATGAATAAATTAAGTAATGTAGAGTTAAACTCACTAGTGTTTATATACATGTATGCGTGAAGTTTCAATTGATTATGATAGTGTGAGTTGCACTCCGGACAATTATAAAAGAAGTACAACAAAAATTAAGCAAAATGATACATGTAGTATGGTTCTTTGACACTGCACTTCCTGTTGGTAATTTTAAAAAATGCTACATGTATAGTTCTTTGACACTGCACTTCCTATTGGTAGTTTTCACTCCGGATCACGACATAAGCCACGTTGAATTCATCAGAGCTTACTTTAGCCACCGCATATTTCCCGTCAGGCTGTCAAGCAGTTAACCAGTACTAGTTGCCTTCACTTTCGTAAAGAACTGATAACTTCTTTACATGCCAGAGTAGAGGAACACGAATGACCGTAGAAAGGATTTCATGATCAATCACAACGACAGTGATCTGCACCAAACGGGAAATGAACTCGAGTCGCCCGAATCACATCCCAACGCACTGGTTATTGAGCTAACCGGGAGGTTCTGAAAATGGTATCTATCACTGTGAAGTTTTAATCAAATGTCTTCAAAATCTCTAAAGTTTTTATATGGGTAAACCTAGTTAAGTATCATAAACTAAGAAATGTAGTTATGGTTCATAGACACTGCATTTTCTCTTACTTATTTCCTGCTTCAGTCCCATTGATGCTTGTAGCCCATGTCTTGCCAACCCTGCCATGAAACGCAGGCTTAAATCGTCATCCGCAGCACACCATTACTCCCAACAACAGAGAACATGGCATTCCTCACAACCAGTCCAACGTCTGACTACTAACAGTCAACTGCTGTAGCGTTCGTACTAACAGATCAGAGTTCAACGCCGCACTACAGTACATCAAACCTGACCTGATGCGGACCAGAATCATGGTTGAAAGGTTTGAAGCCTGGGAAAGATCCCGACAAGAACACCATAATGTCAAGTGATATATTCCCACCTGAGCTGACATTCCACCGTAACGACAGGTTATCTGGTGTCGGAGGAGGTGTGTTCACTACTGCAAGAGACAACCTTACTATGGACGTACGGTCGGTGGACGCTCAACGGACTGAGAGGTAGTGTGGTCGAAGATTAAGACGTGGAAAAGCAAGAATCTCTATATTTACTCCTATATTCCTCACAGAAATATAAAAGACATCCGTAAACTTGATGAATCTCTACATGGACTAACCACTTCAGCACGAGCATCAATTTGGCTGTGACTTTGACTGCCAAGACAAAGACTGGTCCAATATGGTTGTCAACAAGGGTGCAGCTAATAGGGATGATTTATATCTCCATCAAACATCGCGTTACACAACCAGCCAACTCGAGATAATAACATGCTTGACCTGGTTTTCACGAACAACCTCATTGGTAAAAACTTCTTCTGTCCCAGGTATAAGTGATCACGCTATGGTTGTGACGGAAAATCTTCCTCTAATCTAAAGCAAGCTGGGAAAACATACTGGAAGACCTCTCAAAGGCTGTTATTGATGAAGCAGGTAAAACTCAAACTTCTGTTTAAAGTCTATGGATATTCTGAGAAGTCCATGACTACTAAGATTCCATCCAAACTCAGTAAAAAACGACAATCACTTCCCTGGCTCAAGAATGACTTTAAGAAAATGATAAGTCGGAAGTCCAGGTTGTACAAACACGCTTAGCAAACCAAACGGTGGGGACTGTTTAAGTCGTATATCAACGTGAATGCAAGATAGCTTTCAAGAAAGCCGAGATCAACAACATCAACATCACTATTCAGAAAGGACTTGAAGAGAATCACTCAAAACCATTCTGGTAGTATATATGTCAAATCCAGAAGACAAGATAGTGATAGTGTTGGAGTGGCACCCCTCAAGAAGGCGGGAAAACTTGTCAACAATGGTAAAAAGAAGGCCCAGATCCTGGTCGACCAATTCAAGTCCGTCTTCATCAAGGACGAAAGAAATTTAAACCAGAATGGACAACCACATCCTTCAACAAGTACCAGAAAACTCATATCTAGGAATCACTATATCAGACGACCAGAAATGGAGTACGCATATAAGCAAGAAAACCAAGAATTTAAAGCAAACCCAACCCTAGGATTTCTAAGAAGGAACCTGAAAAACGCCCTGAATCTTGTCGTAAAACAGCATTTCTGTCTCTGGTACGCTCTACCCTGGAAGAGTACGATCGTCTGGGATCCATACCTCCAGAGAGACGTTGACAAGCTTAACACACAAATGCTTCAAGACCTGAAACTACCTTCAATCCGAGAAGGAAAGCCAACAGACTGACGATGTTTTACAAGGTGGTCGGCGGCTTGTGCCATCCCTGCCTTGCCAAGACTTCATGACGCCTGTCGAAGTACTAGTCAATAAACGCAGAGTGAAAGTTAAGATTTTTGAGAATTGTGCGACAAATAATATTATTGAAAACCAGATAAACAGACACTCTAAATCCTTTAAAACTGTGCATTGTAAAACTTTAATTTATAATCAATCATTTTTCCAACGAACACTTGCCAATTGGAATAAATTGAGATAGTGTTGCGCAAGGTAAGACAGTGGACGGCATCAAATCAGCCGTATTCCATTTGCACTAGTTCCACTCTCTCGTTGCTTATATGCTGAAAGGCCCTGCAACGTATCTACTAGTCTCAGGCATCATTGATAACTAAGAAGGGAGATAATTAAAAAGCCTAGCAATGTAGAGTTATGGTTTTATGACACTTCAATTCCTCTCACTATCTCAAAATCTTTCTCAAGAGTGTGACGGACAAACGGACGGACACACTGAAGTTCTATTGAGACAGTACTCCATTGTTCTCCCCATTCATAACAGAAAAATAGCCACACAAAAGCCTACGGAATGAATGACATCAAAGAGAAAGTACGGCATCTAAATGTTCCTGTAGTCGCATAAGTATTCTCTTGCAAGTAAGTAAACAGTTTATGTCTATAAATAGAGAGCGTGCACTTACACATTTGCAGAGATTCTTATCTATTGAAAAGTTCAAGCTTAGCTCATGTACAATTCACATTAGTAGTATGGACGGCATAAAATCCGCTGCACTAGTAGTAACGTTAACGTTATGTAAGTAACTCATTATAACAATAACTCGAATTTGTCGCATGGTTTCGAACGTTTTCTTTGTTCTTACTTATCCATTATACTCAGTACACTTCAATGAGCATTTGAAAACTGGATTGATATATAGCAGTACAGTTTGTTCGTTGATTCGTATGGTAAAAAAGCTCGACTGCTATATAGCAGTTGAGTTTTTTTCGCACCATGTATATATCAGTGTTTTTTCACAATGGGACAGGGGTAACGAACATTACCAGTTGCAAAAAAAAATGGAATCAATAAAATTTGAGTTAATTTAATCAAAAGGTACATCCGCTGAATGAATTATTTCCACTGAAAAAAAAGCCCTTTAAACTTGAATCAACAATTCGTCTCTAACATTGGGTGTATTTTGTTTATTTTATTTTATTTTTTTTTGCGGCAGGGAAAACAACTTGAAAAAACTGCCTTATCATAAAAAGCTGTAATGTAGCTAACGATTTTTTTATTTATCAATTTATGAATTAATTAATTTATTTATTTCTGTTACAAAAAATGAAAACATTATGCCATTACGATAAAACAGTTATATTATATGAAACGAGTTAGTTCCGAGGATATAACACTGGTTAATTGGGCGACATCTCGGGATGTTTCTGCAAAATGTCTCGGCCTAACGGCCTCGCCATTTTTTAGCAGATAACGCCCCAGCCAGTGTTATATCCTCGTAAATAACTCGTTTCATATACTATAACTATTACATCTGAATTCCTCGTGTCTTCGTTTGACTGAATTTTGTATACTGGCACTTTATTAATATTCAAGGATATATATAAAATCGGCACTTTATTAATAAACAAGGATATAATTATATAAAAGCAGCACTAATCTGCTGTGTCGATCCAGAGTTTCTGTATTGACCTTAGAATATCGAAGTAAGAAATATTTCACAGTTAATACAAAAATTATATTGATCACCCAGCTTTACTCGGTGAAGTGAGTTGGAATTTAGCGAGGGAAGGGGTCGGACCTTTCCTAGGACTTTGTTAATCTAATCCAAAAGCGAAATTGCACGGTAGCTGGGGAGGGTATTGCACTGAAATGAGGGTTTAGAAAACGTAATTGATATCATGTTAACATTATTCTATAGGTATATTTCTGGCATCACAATGCGCCGGCATGTGTCAAGATTTAGACGTAAAGGCTTGTCAAACAATGACGTCACAGGATCAACACTTTTGTAAGGATTCACCTATGGCTAGTACAGTTTGTCCAAAGTTCTGCAAGAAATGTCGTAAGTGACTTTTTTAGCCATTTTTTCTTCATTTTTCTGTCCTTCAATATTTATTTTCTGTTTGAAAAAAAATTGTGTTGTTTCAAACAAAGTATTTCGGTAATTATATCTCTGAAAAGCGCATCATATCACTGTTATAAACCTTCCTCAAAACAGCGTCCCTGATAGCCATATCTACTGCAGTAACGTGTCTATGAATTGTAGGCTTTACTGTTATAGAGTGCGGACCAGCACATTAGAGGTATCGAGGGGTTTCCTTTATGTTTATGTATTTTATCGTTGGCAGATTTCATTTTCCATCTTAATTCTTTTAAACTGACAATTATATGAAACGATTTATTTAAAAAATCACATAAATAATCGTTAGAGGAGCTGAAGGCCGCTTTAAAGGTTGGTTTCACAAACCGGTTATACGATAAAATACTTTGTAATAAGCTGTCTTATCAGGAAACATTTGAAAGGCAAACTAAGACAAACTGTTTAAACGACATTTTTCAGCACTGTTATGTTACCACTGCGACAACACTGTTCGTAATTATACGGATTGCACATCAACACGCGAGTGTCAGGTGGGCGAGGTAAGAGCTCAGCTGTATCATTTGAAAAGGTATCCAGATTTGAAAAGTTTCCTCGTTTGAAAAAGAATCCCCTTTTTGAAAAGTGTTCCCATTTGAAAAAGTATCCCAATTTGAAAAGTTTCCCCACTTTTTTGTAAATGAAATGGTGAAATGTTTAATTTTGATAATAATTAGGTTTTGCGTATTGGAAATACTATACTGAATGGTCACGTGGAAGTATTAAAATTTCAAAAGAGCCAAAAACGTACAGGTATATGCTACATGCTCCCCATACATTTGAACAGTATCGATAGTAGGTGAACTACATGTTTTGTAACTTATTTCTCACCTTGAGTATTGCTTGTGTGTGGTTTCTACTTAAAGTGCTCTTTGTCTGGGCCGGATAGGGAGATGGTTACATTTCCAAGAGTGGTTCACTTTACAATGTGTATAGAGGTCATACAAACATTGTGCCTGGGAAGTCAATATTCTTAATCATTTTCATTCAAGTATACCGACTGCCTGGTCATAATTCTATGATAAAAGTGACCCCTTTTCAGAAAGTATTGCGATTGCAAAATATTGATTGACCTAATCACACATAAGAGACTTATGAATACTACTATTACGCCTTGGAGACCTCCTCCGTGGTCGAGGGGTTAGAGTCGATGACTTCTAATCCAGTTACCTCTCTGGCCGGCGTGGGTTCGATCCCAGGGAGAGGCTTTGGTAGTTTAGCGCGGAGGAAGGTAGTCTAGTACTGGTGTAACTCTCCAGGAACGATGGTTAGGAAACTACTCGCCTATTTGACTGAAACACTGTTGGAAAAAGGCGTAAAATGAAACAAGCAAACAAACAAATATAACGCCTTGGTGTGTATAACGTAATAGCTGTTTGTTCGTCTGTCCGTTCATTCGAAATCTTGTCTGCTGTAACGAAATAAAATATTGACACATTTGTCATTAATCTTCAAAAATAACCGCCTTTTCTATGCATACAAACTAATATCTGTAGATAAATAATTACTCATCCTGAGAAACTCGGGACACAATATGTACATCCACCTTCTCTGTAACCTGTATAATATTGACACCGGTCAGATTTCGAGAAAAAAAGATAACTTTATCATAAAAAATGAAGTTGAAGCATATTTTTTAACACCAGATCACTTTTGTTTTGTTCCAAGAATTCGTTGTTGAGATTAATTCTTAATACATATCGATCAAAATTAGATTTTTGGTAATGATCCGTATATAAATGATACTAATATTGAATGAGTTCAATACTGAATTTATTCAATGAGTTAAATAAAACTATATTATGCAAGCCTAATATATTGTGAGTATAATATAGTTTTATTCAACGAGTTTAATAAATTTAAAAATGAAGCTTCACGAATATAATATTCTATTTATCACATGTCCAACATAAGTACTGATAACGGTTAAAATAATCGCTACAGTGACGCGCTTATACAGTGTAGTGCGTCCTTACGCTTTGTTTGTATAACGTCGGACGTGCGAACCGTTGTTATGCAGTCACAAAAGCGGCATGGGTATGTGATAAAGAATCATTTGTAATCGATCACAGTGCTAGAGATATCAACTGAATTGTTTTATTTATTTTATAGCAATGTCTACTGCATCAACTCGTCTCATCCACGGACGGACACAGAGAGTACAAGATGAACTGTGCCAGTCCTTACGTAACTACCTATAGTTTTTATGCTTATTCCAAATAAAATTAAATCGCAAATATTCGACGATATGCGTAAGGGTAATTTATAGCAATACTTGTCTTAATTGAAATCACCTCAGAAGAGAAGTATAAATTATAAGTATTTTCTTTCAGAAGACCTGGTAAAAATTCAAACGTACTGTAAAAGATCTGTCTCTCTAAGATGAAGTCTTTATTGTGTAACATTCGTAATCATGTCACTACAATTCTAATTGAAAAATATATAAACAGTGAGAAATTATTATAGCAAAACTTATCTTGCACTCAAAACAAATCAATTACAGAACAATATACATTTTAAGACTGTTACTTTGTTTTCAGACATGTGACGGCATGGGTTTAATGCAAACAGGACGTCGTGATATCAACGCACGTAATCTTATTACCCAATGCTGCACAGATGACTTGTGTAATAACCCTGGATACTTCAAGACAGCAACATTAAAGCAGACGACGACGACACCAAAACAAGCGGTGACGACATTAAAACAGACACTGGCGACATCAACCAAGACGCCTTTATCACTTACAGTTCCACACACGTCTAGTGTGTTGTTGTTTTTTGTTGTTTGTTTCATACATTTTGTACAAATATCGCACTTTGTCTTGAAAAAATGTTTCTCATTACAACTAAAATTAAGGCTAACAACCTTATCGATTCACTCTGATTGGAATAATGATTATCTCATTTAAAGTGGAATGATTGTCAATTTTGACAATGTTAACTATGTATTTTATGTGGTATTACATTCAAACTTAGGTAACGTTTTTTGCCGTGAGAATCTATATTGGGGTAACTGAAGTACATGTAAACCCAAAACAAACATTCTCTAATTTCATACTTATTTCAGCTTGTGTTTTTATTTCTTGACAAAAAACTTTGGCACAGCGCTTCATAAATCATATGTAAGGACATTGTTTATCTCAAACTGCACGTGCGTTTTCTAAATCTGTGTAAAATGGCTGTTATGCTTACTTGATATTAAATCTAAATTTTATATGTTTTCAGACTGCAATAAAGACATAGAATTCATGATTGAAGACTCTAGACACACCTCTCATTTAGATGTCCGCAACTATCTTAGAGATATTGTTAATTATCTAGATATAGGCGTCCAGCAAGCCATGGTAGGCGTGGCCCTCTACGACCACGGGGTAGATGAGAGAATAACCCTTGGAAATCACCCGCAGAAGTCAGAGCTTTTGCATGCCATACATCACATTCGCTTTGAAGGCGATGATAACGATATTGATAAAGGTGATGTACTGGAATTTTTACATGACGAACTTCATGGTCGCCATGGGGACAGGCCTAACTTTGAGAATGTCATTGTCATCATCGTGGACCATTTCTCCCGCTTTGTTACTGCAAGGTTCTTAAACGATGTTGACCGTTTGTCTTCACTCTCAAAAGATATCATAGTTATCAACGTCGGAGCCAACGGGGCATATTCTCCATTTTCCAGTTTAGCTTCCGATTCAAGTCACGTTATTGATGTACCAAGCTATTCGGATTTGTCGACAACTCTAAAAACCGTGCTTGACCTTATTTGCACATAATCTGGCTGAAAAGATTAATGCCTTCCTATTTTCTTTCATCAAAAGTTTAAAATACTAGTAGTTTATTACAAACTCCTGAAATAAAGCTGATGAAAAAGATGATATTGAGTTAATTTCTTTTTACGATTATCTCATAGCAAATAATACTAATTTAATGTTTCGTTCAGGGGCAAAAATCGGGAGTCGCATTTAATTAATTTCAATGAATTCAAATTAGATTACTCAATGTTCAATAATTCTTATCTAATTCTTGCAAAAGTTAAGCAACTAGAATTTAATAAGATAAGCAATGGGTGAAAAAGGGATTTATTTGTGAAAAGTTAAACGTATAAAAACGTTATAATGAAATCTTTATATATGTACGTAACATAATACTAGGGTATATTCTTAAAGAAATACACGATATATATATATATAAGAAAATCAGAACAAAACAAAAGCTTTCAAAATGATGTAAAAAGTACATTTGTTATCACCTGTATTTTATTTATTTATTTTAAAATAACATTTTGGATGTTGCACACAATGCATTTCGTAATGTTATTTCATATGTCTAACTAGAGGATATAAAAATCATGATGACCAAGGAATAAGTAATACATTTATTCATTAACGATCAAGAACATATCAGTTGAAGTACTTGCGACAAACTGTTTTTAAGTGATGCATAATCATGAACGTCAATGACATGATTGGAGTCGGTGGCCAATTGTGATAATCCTGTAGGACTGGCACCACCTACATTGATAACCGTCACGGACGTCAACTCTGCATGCCCTTTATCTGTATGGTGGTGATGATTCGCGTTAGGCGATGCGGCGTGATCAGCGATAATGACAACGGAATTTTTGTAGGAGGCTCTTCCATAGTGATTTTTATAGGGATCGAGCTGCCTTGTTAAAAAATCTATCACATCAGTGACGGTCGTGCTACTTATACCTTGGTTAAACCGAAGTCCGTCCAAGGCTTGCATAAGTTGTGGAAGATTCTGATGAGAATCAAGATTGAAACGTCTATTCACTTTGTTGTCAAGTACTGCTAACCCAACCTGATTGTTTGCTGTTCCAATAACAAGGTGTGAAACTAAATCTTTCACAAACTGGATGCTATACTGAGACGCTGATCTGTCTGGTGAATCTTGTATAAGTATTTCTATGTCGCGGTTACATACTGAAAAACAATCAATCTTTAAAATAGCCTAAAGTACAAACGAATATGAAGATAAATTTAAATGACTTCTTTCTGTTATCTGATTGACATATCTATTCTTGAGACCAGACGATACATCTTCGAAACCTTACCAGTATGACATGATTATTTTACATGTATTAACATTTGACCTGTTGAGTTTGACGTCTTTGCATTACCACTACACGTACGCACCAGTTAGTATAACTAACCCCTTAACGCCACGTTTTTATTAGACGCCATTGAGAAACCACAATCAGATTGTAAAATTTTGAACTTCGAAGCCTTCTAAGAATCTTAAACTGGCTGACGGTACGAACTGGACTACGAGGGGCGTTCGAGTGAAGCTTTATTTCGCTTAAAGCGTGAACACCTTGATAAAAGTAAACACATGTCGGTAGAGTTACCACTTGTGCGTAACCTGGCGAATCTCTCTCGAGATCTCTAACTTCACTTATCTCGGTATAGTACACGTTATTCCAAAGCCTACTAGTTAGACAGCATATAAAATGCATGGGAAAAGAGCTGAAAATGAGCTCGAATTTAGGGCCTATATTAAAGGTAGGTCGATATTTTGCTCGAAAGCTACAAATATTCACAGAGAGGTGTGCGATATTTATGGGGAGGATCAAATGTCTTTCAGCACTGTTTACAGGTGGGTGGCAAAATTTAAGAGCGGGCTGTAGCAACTTAAATATGTTGTTCGCCCTGGTCGTCCTGCAACAACAACGATCAAATGTAACATAAAAAAATCAGCGATTTGCTAAAAAAAAAGATTCCAGATTTAGGGTGAGGCAATTAACCCGTTCACAAACATGTCGTTATCAGATGTTCATTTCATTTTAGAGAAGCGTCTGAAACATAAGAAAATCAATGCACGATGGATACCTCATTTGCTGACAAATGAGCAAAAGAGGACCCTGGTCGCAGTGGCCAAAAAACTTCATAACATATACCCAGAATATAGCAAAAGGGCCTTTAATGGCCTAGTTAATTACTTGATATGAGACCTGGATTTATTTTTACGAACCTAAGCGGAAATGTTCAAACAGAGTTAGGGCCACAAGAAATGCGAGACACTAATTGCCTAAAGAATACGAACTGTCAAGAAGATTATATATGTTATTTTCTTTCATAGTAAGGTCTAGTGCTGCAAATACCTGTGCCAAGAGAGAAAATTGTAACAGCAAAGTTCTATAGAAATGTTGTATTAAGAAAATTAAAGAAGATCTACCAAATCCGCCGCCCCCAAACAGGACTCAATCTCCTGAGACTCCTGCATTATTACGCACCAGCGCTTAAGGCACGCATCGTGACTGAATTTTTGGAATCGGAGAAGGTTTAAGTCTTCTCTCACCCCCCCCCTCACTTCCAAGACATTGCCCTTACGTTTATTTCGTATCTAGCTAAATGATATTTCTTACGGAGGTAACGAGGCCGTAAACGTTTAGCCATTTTTAGTACTGCCATTGCAATTATTTTAAACGTTTCAACCTTAATAAGTTCAACGCCGAAGCATTAACACTGCAACGCTGTAAACATGTTTAGCCTTTAAAGATACACGTACTTTCACTGTCATTTTTTAAGATTTTAAGATTTTAAATCTTTTTAAGTTCGACGCTTACCATATTGTTCTCATTTTATAATTCATAAGTGCTGGCACTAACATTCTGTAAAACATTTAGCCTTTGTAAGCATTTACTTAACATACTGTAAATGTTTAAGACTTAAAAGCATTGGCATTCATACTATAATTAACTTCTGCATCATGATTTCGACTTTAGCTTTTTTATAACATGCCTTTCCTTAATAACGATGCTTTATTAAGCCTTCCCTAAATTTTAATGTATACTGTAGAAGTATTTATTGTTAAGTATGTATTGCATATAACTAAAAACGTTATAATTATTATCTTCACAACACCTAAAACCGTCATATAGTGATGAAAAATCTGACCTAGTGCTGGTGCAGTTGTTGGTATAATTGGGTAGTTACACATGTCTTCTGAACAGCAATGTATTTGAATATCACGTCTACCGAATGGCATCAAAACGGTTCCATCGCACATCTTATTGAATAAAATAATAACATAAAATAACCATGACCAAATTTCTAAAAACAGTTTTATATAATATCGAATCATGATTAATTGAATATATATATATATATATATATATATATATATATATATATATATATATATATATATATATATATATATATATATATATATATATATATTGATTTAATTTTGAACGAAACAACGTATTTTGGATGTTTGCTACTTGGCAGTTTGATACAAAGTTATTTACAGTATGAACATTTTTTTGTTCATTGATGATTAAACATGGACATAATAACTATAACTTTGAAAGGACTCCACTTTTTTTGACATAATGGGACTAGATCTTGTTTTTAATATTGTTAGGTCTGAACCAATTTATGTGCAAATTTCAGATTATTCCCTCGTCCCGCTTTCCCAGAATCATCATTTCTAGTGTGCAAAAATAAAATGAAAAGTGAAAAGCGTTGCAACGTTTTGCACTTCAGTTTAGTTAGGAATGGCCCGAAATTTTCAAATTTTATATTTTAACCCTTTTTCAGTGAAACTTCTTTTACTTTGCCGAAATTTTCAAATGAACTTGACCAGCTGTCAATTCCGAGACAGAGGGGTTTTAATGCATGGCAGTTAGTCTTAAACAAAGATTGGCCAAACATGAATTTTAAGATAACCAGAACAATAAATAATGACATTGCAATAGGACTTTGACATATTTGGCAGTACCTCCACACTGGCACAGCTCATCCGGTACTCATGGTGGCCGTCCCTTGTAGCGGTCAGTTGATGTAACATACATTGCTGAAATAAAAACACCTTGCCTGGAGCTATATTGTCATTTCAAGACACACAATTTTTAATTGGATTATGGATCCTAATGATAGAGTATATAAATAATCTATTCAGATGCTGTTTTCTGAATCATAAAAGTGAAAGAACGTATGCATGTTCAAAGAAAAAATATTCTCATGCTTGCTTAAACCCCTGTCACTCTGGGTCGGAATGTGAGCGACACACTTGCGAACATCATTCGCGAGATAGATTTAAAAAGTCTCGAAAGTTCTCAATTTCTTTGCAAGAGTCGAAGCCCTTGTTTTCTTGTCGCTTGCATTTTCAATTTTCAACATGTTGAAAATTCGTGCGACGAAATTTCTCTCAATGTTTTCTAAAATCATCGCATACATCACGAACCCATCTCAAACCGCTTTCTTTGTGGTTTCCTCGAATTAAACAAGCGGATAATATATGAGGTTGAACACTTTAAGGCCCTTAAGAGATGCCGAAAGACGAACTTCAAGGACATGAAAGTCCTTTGTCTTTACTCTTAGTGCTTGTAACGAAGGATACATACACACACGCAACACGCAGGCACGCATTCATTCATTCATTCATTTATTCTCACAAGGGTGCGTGAGTCGATCCCTAGTACGCAGTGACGATTAGAAAGGCAGGCTCTTTGCTTGCCACCAACAGTTCTTATCAGGGTTACTTCAACTCGGATAACAGTACGTTAAGGTTTCGGCTCAAAATTAAATCTGATTGGCTGAAACTTGCACGGAGGTAAATAATCACTTTGTACTTCAAAATTACCCTTTAGTCGATGACTGGTGATATGTCTGGGGTCTGTACCTGACAGCGAAAGTTGCTTTCTGTAGCTAAACGTGCGGATGAACCCTCATTTATCACAAACTACTTCCACTCGCGATTTAATCATAAAGTCATATGAGTCCGAGCAACATTTGTATTTCGTACTGCCACGTCGATGTAAAAAGGCAAAACTCTATCTGCAAAAAGCCCCACTCCCCCCGCAGAAATAACGGAGCCAATCTCAGAGTATGCCGCACTCAACAAACAC